AGTCCTGCAAACAATCCCTTCGCCATTCCTCTGTCCACTGAGCGATGACTAAATCTGCGAGAGAGTCGATAAGCTCACCGGGGAACCGAAATGATTGGACTTGATTGAGTAAAACAAGCGGTTCCGCCGCGGCCACCGCTGCCCATATATCAGTTCCGCTCTCTACCAATGGACACTGGACGCTAGCCGTCGTCGGCCAGCGGACGCTTTCACGATTCCATTCAACGTGCCAATGCTGATTGGGGCCGCCCATAGGGTCGTTCGGCACTGCCAGATATTGAACCAGAGCGTACTCCTCCGGTTTTCCTTTCTTCAGCAGAACCCCGGTATGGATGTTTTTCAAGGCTACACCGTCCTGAATGCGGTCGTCCGGAGCGGGTACATGTGTACGCTTACGCAAGTGCCTCGCCTGGTCGTAAATTCTGGGAGGCTGCGTCACGACGTCATTCGGCGCGAGAGAGGTATCGACATAGTTCCTATCAGTGGTAACCAATGCGTCGGCCGCATCAAACTCTACCAGCGCTAGCTGTTGTGGTCCACCACATACAGGGGCGAGGTCCTCAGTCTGGGAAGTGGAATACATTGGTTCATCTGCATCATGCCGAGACGTTTGGGCCACCATGAGGGCATCGTGATGGGTTGCGAACTCTTCCCTCGTTGCCGGGCTAGGAACGGCAGCCGAGTAATGCCGACCCCAAAAGCGGAGGACAATAGGAGTTGCTGCTGAGTCGATGATGTCCGCCCTGATAACATCAAGGCACTGTAAAATGTCCATGGGCCGCTCCGTAAACGAAGCGATACTTTTCGCTTTAATGGATAGCACTTCTGGCCCAATCTGCCGGCAGCTCCAGGGGTTGGCGCGCGTATCTTCTAATTCGAGCACGTAAATGTTCCGATGGAGGAACATTGCCGCTAGTCCGATGATGTCATTACCTCCCCATGTATTGTCCGCGACGACCGCTGCTCGGTCGGAAGGACTGGATGCGTAGTCCTCTAAAACCTATTTGAGTTGGTTAAGGGATTCCCGCCGCGTCATGCTTGTCCAAGCACGGTTAACATGTTGAAGTATCGTCACCCGGATATCATGCGGTATGTGGTCCTCTATGTTTAAAAGTCCAACCTCCTTGATACCGGTTTCGAGGGTTGCCGTTAGCTGTCCAAGCTTCGACGTCGGCTCTGCGAGATCTTGTCCAGTTGCTCCTTGCACGATTGCCATGGCAAGGCAATTGCCGAACGCCGGCGTTACTACCTCCCGCATCCCTAAGCTGTTTAACGCCTCTGCGAAAGTCTGCGGCACTTGCGTTAGCATTGGACCAGGGGGAGCCACCTCCGAGGGACCGGCGTAGCTGGCCTGCATTAATTTCGAAAGCGTAGCCCTAGATTTCGCCTGACGACTAAGCAGGAGATACCCTTGGACTTGTGGAGGCTGACCCCGCGCCAGCCCTGCCACACGAATTTGTTCCTCAGCTGGTAAGAGAAGCGGCTGCGCCGGAGAGACCGTGTCCCCGGTTACGACGCTAGGGACGCCCTCACTGCTCAACTCGGCGGTTAATGGGGCCGTTCGGGGTGTCGGTGTTGGGTGCTTGCCGGATGCCTCGCTGACGAGCGCTCGAGGAGTGTCTTTTCCAATGCTTGTCAAGGTTTTGTTGGCGCGTCTCTGGATGGACCGTCCCTTCTGAGCTCTGTGGGTAATCCACGGCTGTGGTTTCCTGGGTTCTGGTTGAAGCTCGACTCCGGGAGGTAAGATGCCTATCTCCCGATCCACCGGTTTTGGTAGTCGCTGCGACTCTCTATCGGATTCCTGTAGCCTGGAAGATGTAGGAGGAACAGGCGCCATATTATCCGGTGTGCTTAGCGACGCCTGGGCCAGGCGGTGGCCGGCAATACGGGCGCGCACCGTGTCTCGAAGTTCTTTAAGACTCGCGAAAGGACGTGCGGTATCGCCCAGACCGGCTATGTCCTGTTCCGCAACGACGATGGCTCCTGGCCCCCGAAGTTGTGCGTCAGAGAAACTGCAACGCGCAATTGGGTGCCCAATGTTACCGCACTGTAGACATTGAAATCGGCGCCCAACGTTGGAGTGAGATACGATTAAAATGGCGCCGAACCACATGATTCGGTTCACTCCCTGTAGAAAATTCGGGCAACCCGCCAACTGGAAAGTAAGTTTCCACACCGTCGACGTTCTTGACGTCGGTGTGCACGTATCCATATCTTCCACTTCAAATGGGGTTTGGATGTTAGTGCGAAGAAACGCCATAAGCTTACCAATGTCGTGAAACCGAGTCAAATTGCGGATGTATACCGTATACTCCGCCTGCCGCCGTATTTGATGCCCATCCGAACTGCGCTGTCGATCCCAAACAATTCCGTGGTGTGGCCGATGCGGATTCGTTAGCGAATAGCTTCCGCCCCGAAACGGGATAGCCACACGTTGATGTTTAACCGCCGTTTCTCTAGTGAAGAAAAAGAAATGGATGGACTTTGTCACCCTGTCGTAAACAATCTGTTTAGTCTGGCTTATCAGCGCATGAAGCGCTGGCAATTTGACCCGAACTAATTCCGCCGATTCGAGTATCGCCGCGATGATGCTGTTAGTGCTATGCTGACATACCCGGATATAATGATGACGTTGTAACGTCATCACCAGCTCTCCCTCCACCTGTGCTTGGATCGTATTGAACAGCCGAATGCGTTCGGAACTGTCCATGATACTCTGCACGAACGACGGAAGTTTGCGACACGCTATAGACCCTTCCGCTAGGCCCTCATAATTTTCCATTCCTCCGCGGTTCCATCCCGGTACTCAAGGCCATACGCCCCTTCGTAAGAAGCTTCGCACACTTGCGTCAGCTTCGCGACCTCTGCCGGCTGGTACTTAGCCGGATTAAACATAAATCGCGTGTACGGGTGTCGCGAAGGAGCAGGAAAGCTTTCGGTAGCTGCCGGAGTGCCCTGTTTCACCTTAGCCGACCACTGATCCAAAACAGGAGCTTGCTTCCATTTAAGCCGGCTAACGTGCTTGCGAACGATCTCGAGAAACGCCCATTTCGTTGAATACAGATCCCTGATCACAGGTTGGAGCGTTCGATTCCACACCTCCCCATCTTGGTTTCCACGGATGCAGGCGAGTTCAAACAGAGTAAGTAATCCTACGCGCTCTGCCATGGTCAAGCGGGGGTAACGTTGCCGCTCGATGGGTAACTTGGCCTTATTGACCGCAAATTGCTCCGATGCTGTTGTGTACAGCACTTAGATAGAGTGAAGCCATGAATCTAGCGGACCCTCGCCGGGGTGGGCCTTCATCTCATCCACTAAGGCGGCATGAAGATCGCTTTCATCATCCACAAGAGGGGCCCCGGACCGGTCCGAAGTGACCCCTACGTTTTCCGAGGAAGAGTGCTCCCCCCGGATCCAATCGATCAGCTCGTGAGGCACCTTCCGCGCCCGATGAGGTAACCGCGGTGGCACCCTTCCGGGATGCGCAGGGCGTCATCCAGGTCCGGCCGACAAAACATCAGACGGGTGGCTGGGAAGAGTCCGATCCCCGTCCATGTCCAATGTCGCATCATCGTGGTGCGTGTCCGGCGCAGCCACCTTACGCTCCCTGTCCGGCTGCGGAGACCCAGGAGGTACCCGAGTTGTCAGTGACGCTAGTGGGAGCGCAGGTCGTCCTGGATCGTCGCCAGACTCTTCCCTTCCTTTGTCAGGAGGAGGGTCGGTCATGGGAAGATACGCACGGGCAGTTGCCGAAGAAAGCCTGGATTGGCTTAACGTCTCGTTTATACTCACCGCAGGCGGGTGCCTTCTGCAGCGCAGATTGGAGAGTGTAAGGCCGACCTACTTGCTAAACCTTTGCTTACAGGGTTGACTGTAGAATGGCGACTGGAGAGAGTATGGCGGCTGCGGAATGTGCTATGATACTCAAACGCCGATGATTATGCTCGGCAGCATAATCATAGAGGTAGAGCCGCTCGGTGGATAGGCTGCAAAATGCAGAAGTAATTTGACGAAGGACCTTAGCTTTCAAACGCTTTGGCTACTTTTTAGCGTTCCTTCCCTCGAATCGATCCTTTAACCAGTCGTTCGCTCACCCACACGTCTCGTTACTTGCACAGCCAGCACTACTTCAGTCAACCACAAAGTCAAAGTAGCCGACCGTCTTTGTGGTTGAACAAGGCGTCTATGCAGCAGGAATCAGCCGCAGGAATATCTCCGTGATGCGCTTCACGTGCTTTCGATTGCCAAGCATCGGTCGGGACCTGATGCACCGAATAGTCTGGAGTGGTTGTAGTACTGATAAGCCCTGCACCGAGTGACAGCTGTCCACATTTATGCGGCGGACTATCCATCCTACCGCCAAGACCTTCGCTTGAAGCGTGACAGTCGTATACAAAGGCCGTACGTGTAACGGGGCCCCGACTCGGAAAGCAATCTGAATGCATGAACACTTGGATTTCCTGAGAATTCAAAGCTCATTTCGTGTTACTTTGGGCGCCACTATGATCAACACGTATCATCCTTATCGTGTATTACGTCACATATTTGCCCGTACAATGCTTCCTACCTTGCGTGCCTCTGCTGTGCATCTGTCTGTTCTTGACTCACACTCGCTGCGTCTTTTCACGCTAGCTTCAATGACATCTAGGGCGTTGATTGTGAAAAAGGTGCTGACAAGCTACCCGGTATGACCTCGTGGATATGACGGCTTAGCTACTTGGTCGCTTTGTTCAATCCGCTTGCGGATTGTATTCGAAGACCGGATCTTCCCGTCCATTCGAAGACGACGATACTGCTCTCTTTGAGCAAATCTCATTCCGTTGGCTGAAGAGCGTTCGTGTCGCGATGAGCCAGTGCAGGAAGATTCCGATGCCTGCTTTACTCACGCGATCAGATTTGCTGGAGTAAAAGTCAGGATCAGTCCACGCACAGCTTCTGTGAGAAATCGCCACAATTGGTTCTCACTTTGCTACATTCTGGCAGCCACCCACTCCGCAAGCATGCGCATGCTCTGCTACTTACTCACGGCTTCTAGCATCTGTACCTTCGGACGTGCTGGCTCGCCGATTGACGGTGACTCAGTGATTGCTCCTGTTTCCAGCTCGAGCCCTTCTCCACGCCCTGACAAGAACACGTCCGACGGGCACCAACTTGTGCATTTATACGGCAAAGTGGGCTCTGCCGATCTCTCCGCCTCTGTCGCTCAACGGCCTGTAGGACCGAGCGAACTGGTGGTGGGCAAGACCCACAGCGGCCACGCTAAGGAGGAGCGATCGACTTGGTCGCCAGCTGAGCCTTTATTGTTGGCAGGGCAACGATTCGCGACTTTCTTGAGGCAGCTGGTTCGTCCGGTAGCGCCTCATGAGGCTGAGTTCGTACGTCTGGGTCTTAACAAGGGAGACATAGACGTTGATGTCCTCACGCAATGGCTGAAAGGCTGCATTGATAATGAGAGGTACGTCGACTTCAAGTTCCCTCCATCGGCAATCGAAACAATGAAAAAATACAAACAAGATCCAAAGGACGTGGTAAAGGCACTGCTATCGGTGAAAACGATGGTGAGCAAGAATGATGGACCCGACAACATCCTGAGGGGGCTAGCTCACTATTACCGAAGTGATCCAAAAGTGATGCAAGGTGCGTGGCTGGACCTCGAAGCGAAGCCCAAAGAGCTTTTTGATACCCTCAAACTGGGTGAGGACGACACACTTAAGAACTCGCTATACCGGGCAACTATGTGGTTCGACTATACTGCGCTGTTGAGAAGCAACAAGGAGATTAACGTCCTCAGCGAGGAGGAAGCGGTGAAACTGCTTGTAGGTGGCAGGGATGTCTCAGCTATGAACACATACATTCAAAAAGCGAAGACGGACGGAGTTGAGGTGAAGACATTGGCCGACGCGCTGATTAATTTGTACCGAAAGCGTGGGCCATAATTATCAGAACAAGCAAATACTCGTGCTTCGAACACACTCGAGGGCGTGAGCAAAGTCGACGGATGAGCGCGATCGTGAGTTGCTGAAGTAGTTGCTGTTGTCGTAGCAATTAACGATGGAGCGATCTGCCGTTTTGTCGAAACGAGTTTCGTAGGCCTTGAGGTAGTATGGGTAGCATGTGTACTACGGACTTCCAATACATTTCCTACGTTTTGCATCGTACCGCTCGAACGTCAATTCAGGTAGTGATCCTAAGCAGCCGCTGTAGCATAGGACGCATAAAGACGCATCAAACTCGACATGGACATTTCTGTACGAGGAAACATGCTTTCGATCAAACATCGACCGATGTAATCAAACGGAACTCTTTCTCATACTTTTCTTGTGTGATTGAACGCAGCTGCATTTCAGAGACTGCATGAAATGGATGGAGATCGCCCAAAATATGTTCATCAGCGAAGAGCTAGCACCGTACCATCAGCATATGATTGGGCCCATTACGTTGCTTTACGACAAATTTTCGGCGCAAGCGATCATGCGTCTTATTTGCGCTTGGGCAGCAATACGGTGCGTGTCGTTACGCGAGATGTCCTTAACCAGTCCAGAATGGCGGTGAGGCAATGCGGTAATCGCGCTCATTGCCAGCCATAACTTCCACGCTCAGCAAGTCTCTCGCTCGTGACACAAACAAAATGCGTAGCCACCTCTACCACGCGAGCAACGGCGACGAAAGCCTCGTATTCAAGGTAATCAGCCTGAGCTCCGATCGACTTGTCTATCTGGTCTGTACTGACGCGTCCAGCAAGTACCGCCAGTAGCATATAGTGGTGGCGATGGCGATGTCTGTGGTTTCACTTTGTTCGAAAGCACATTCGGCACGCCATGTACGAGTATCGCACCCCATCTACAGCGTCCTCGATTCGTAGCCTAAAGTTTCTTAGCTCATGTTACGAAACAAAAAACTCAATAATAATGACATGGACCTACGGTCCAACTGGGCGATCTACACGAGGCTCAGCTTGTTGGAACCTCAATATACCACGATATTGGTATCCCATGGGGGCGGATTGTGATCGACAAGTTGTGCAGCACGCAAGGCAAGCCGGGTCGGCAGCGCACACATCTACATCGTGAAATTCCATAGCACCTTCACAGGGCCATTTCTGGACAGGAAGGAGCTTGTCCAGAAGTAAGCTCGATATACGTATCCATCATCGTTTCCTTCTATCTACGCTGCACTGATATCATTGGCGTCTCAGCTGATGATACATAACGTCATACCATGAGACGATAAACGACTGCTTGACATCGTATGCGGAGGTAGTGTATTCATCCACCTACATGCTAGCAAAACCTGCCCCGCGCTTGGGCTAAATTGTGGAAGAAGACCGCACAGGGATCGGTGAAGGCTGAGCAATGAGTATCCTTTGTAAATTCGAGACGAGGAACCACCAGTAGCGCAGCCCATAGTCGAGTAAATCGATCACGCTGACATGGTCGATTGACTTGTCGTTCTACCTGCAAGAATGGATCTATCCACGATGCGCACGAATAGCCGGTAAGCTGTCGAAAGTCTGATGGTAGTCTGACGCAGGAACGGCCAGCGGACCCCCAACGCTGCATCTCGCGCGAGGAACGAACGCAACATCGCGGTGAAACCTAGCGGTCGACCGCAGCAGGTAGAAGAAAATCACGTAGAAAGTCGGAGACACACACAAAGACGGTGTGGAGCCAAGTCATTAGTTTGCTATCAGCACAATTTCGAAAGCATGCTGCTCCACGTACTAGCATCGCAGTCACTAATAGTGTGCACATTAGCTGACCGACGTATCACTCTACGACCTGTGAGTGCAGTGATGCGATAGAAGAAGATAGAGCACATGCGATGCGAGCCAGTTCGTTTGAAGCCGCAACCGACTCGAACAAGGACTATCTTGTGTGTAGGTGCAAAGGCACGAACGTGCATCACTAAAGCGCGAACTCACCAATGCCCATCCTTACGTACACACTCTGCAATCGGTGCTCTGCAGGCCTGCTGCTGTTTTCTCACAGTAGGATCGCTCGATCGAAGCGAATGTAGCACGTTGATAGCAAATCGACGTACAGGATACCAAAGAATATAGCGCTCACTAGCAGATCAGCAGAAATCCTGTCGCATGCTACAATTCATCGATTTACACCGGCCTGTTATCTCACTCTCAAACGGTCTGTGCCGATCGTTGTCAAAATCCACATGATGCGGTGTGAAACGCTTGACACGCATAGCAAGAAAAGACGACTAAGTCTCCTATCTGATCGTCGGGTACCAGCTTGCTGTCTTAATCTTCCATTGAGCTGTCAGACAAACGGCGTCACAAATTCCATACCTGTAAACTTCGTTATGGTCGTACTACCATATCATCGGCCGCGCATTTCACCAGTTGTCTGCCCATCCACTCTAGGAGGTGATGCTCGTGAGTGCCCTTGTCAAAGATTACGCTATATCCTGGTTCAGAAGTAGATAGTAATTGTACACGTATAACAGGATGTAGAAGCAAAAGTAGAATAGATCTAGTGTTATCTTCTTCTGTTAACACACGGCATGTACTTTATCAGCGCTGCAACTTGACCAGACCAAGTCGCACATAGCGCACGTCCATTCCGCCTTTCGTCATAAGCTGGTCTAGTATGTCAACCGCACCTCCCGGTCCCATTTGTCAAGTTGTCAACCTAACAGCCATCAGGTGAGGTCGGACCTTACCTGTAACAGGTCTTGCTGTTGACCCTCAAGACCTTGATGAACTGTCGGAAATGATATCGTATAGCACACGATACGTGCAGAGGAACGCTTACCTTCTCAGTGGATACGTGTAGACGGAAGGAAAGTAGAGCTGCACTTGATTGATCGATAAAGTCGCCCAACAAATATCGTTTTGACATTGTCATAACTACATCAAGCCATAAATCCAAATGCAGCGACTCGCTCACCACCCACTGCGCGAGTCTATCAGCATTTGCTCGTTCAGTTGGCTGATTCAATGGTCTACAGCAAGCAATGAGTCGAGCCTCACCGACTATTGCCTTCAACGGTACGATTTTCTAACATCTTTGCTTGTCAAGGCAAATATTGTAGGATCGTATCAAGTAAGATAAGATTCACATTAGTCCAATTTGGTGACAATGTCATGTATGGGCTCACTCCGTTACATAGGGTGTATTTCTAAATGCACCAAATGCTAACGACAATGAAAGAATGCGCCGCACGATGGAAACAACAATAATAAAGCGTCAACTTATATTTAAAGCAAAAATACACTGCCCATCGATATGAAACGAACAAACATACATGCTGGAGAATACATGGATACATATCTACATTGATGACGTAATGTGCAAGTGCTGCAGCAATTTATCGAGAAGAGCATTTCCGGCGATGGGAAACATGCCGGACAAGCTGTTTGTCTTCATTGATCACGTAGGTTAACTACATGAAGGTTGTTGACATGGTGGTACCTTTGCCACATGCTGCATAGATTCTACGGTGAAAGCATCATACTTTTATGTCCTTTCAACAAGTGGGACTTTGTAAGAACGTATAGCACAATGACATATCAGTGCACTGTATCCCATGTCCGGGGCGGATGAGAGGACCGAGCTGCTACGCTTATGTGCACTATGCCTCCAAGTAGATGGCAATATTGTGTCTATCTTCGCAGCATCCATGCCACGATACCACATCAACACCGACATCGCTACCAATAGTAGCAGCTTATTGTTTCTCGCAACCACAATCTTCCATCAGCATTGCGTGTTTTGCTAACGTGCAATCTTCGTATGTCTCCATAAGCTTCGATATGACCACCTGCAATAGCACCAAAACAATGCCATCAGAACCTCACGGTATGGTCTCCTCTTGATGTTTCAGTCTACAAATTATCTCGTGCTGCCTCGGGTCGTGTTCCAAATATCTTATAGAGCTTGTGTACACGTTATTTGAACACGGCGCTGTCGTATCTCATTCATTAAGACGCTCGGGTCGAGACGACAGCTGACATTAATACAATGCCAAACCACAAACGACGAATGGAAGAGTTAGAAGCAACGGAGCCTTACTTTGCAATGATAAACGGCACTTTACGGCTACGCTTGGAGCGTCAACGCACCTTTTCTTTTGTGCAATACGAATGTCGACGAGTTTTGATGTATTGGCCTCGAATGATTGAAGTAAAAGAGGGAATGAATGCAGATAGATGTACATGAATGATCGCAGGCATGTGTAAATTCGATCGCTTAGTATGAACCGGTGGTGTATTTTTCATTTTGGTGATTCTTTCGTGCATTTTTCTTCTTTATCTTCTGATGCATTTTTCTATTGGCTGATATTTCGGTGCATCTTTTGTTCTCTCTTTTTCATACCATTTCATGTGCCATCACAGTGCAATTCGTTTCTCATGAACATACATTTGTAGTTTGAATCGTTAACGTGTACTCCATTCGGAACGAGCGCTATATGTAACAAGTGCATACTCGTATGACACGTTACTCTGATCGCTGACGAACCACTCCACGAGTTCAAAACGTGCGACGACGTCGTATCGGACGAACGTCAATGTTGCAGCAACAACGACACTAGCAAATTGCTGCGACGAGCAATTTGTTGCCGTTCATTCGTTTTTCCTTCCGCACATTGTAACAGCACGTCACCTGAGACCACATACGTATCTTTTACACCAGCTGATTACTTTCTGATCTTACCTCGGTGTCTGCACTGGTCTACACTTGACGTAGACCATTTACCAGCACAAATGTGATTTACCGATCCAGATACATCGCAAAGGCACATGCATGAAACCTTAAACGCTCGGAATACGTATGCAAACATAAAAATAGTGTATGCACTTTTCCTGGACGTCAACGACTTCTTTGCATTTGGCAGAAGTAGTATAGGCAGGCGCCAGATGTCGGCTTGGGCTCACACCATAAGTCAAGTGCTTGGATGCATCTAGAACACTGTAGTGCCGCTGGTAGACTTCATTTCATGCGAGGGCTACCACATGATCAATGAATCGAGTTCTTCACGCTGATATGTTGCATGCCACAAACGCAGAGTATGAATCGTACTCTTCCACGTCTGTGCGCATCTTCCTTCACGAGCTAGTTCGACACAATCTCTAGTGTTATCAAGCAAGTATTGCCAGGCCTCACTCATTGCGTGGGTGGTAACAGTCCCTCTCTTTGCACGATCTGTCAGCATACAAATTAACCATCGGTAGGTGGTGCGTCATGAGCAAGCATATCAGGGTGCTGGACGATATCGCGCAAGTGGTCGGTGAGACCATAAGTGTACCTGACTGCATGAGCAGAGACCTTGCATGGTGCGCAGTGTATCTTTGTCTACAAAAAGTGTCGAGGAAACGGAGGATGGGTACCTGTGGATTCGTGTAGACGTTCGTTCCATTGTTGCAACAAACGATGCTACTCGTGTCTTGATTGTTTCGTTCCTGCTCCAAGCTAACACTTGCTTCATACGGCTCACGATAAGAATCACTGGCTCTTGCGGATACAGTTGCGATCGTGCGTCCTTTTTGGGGTCAGGGCGGCCATTGAGCTTAATATTCACAACGGCTCCAAATGTCAACGAGAGTGTTTTCTCGTCGAAAGATAAAAAACCCATGAGAGTTGACATTTGCAGCCAATAAAAAAATGAGCCGCCCGATCGCAACCCAACGTTAGAAAAAGCACAAGTTGTTTCGCAAAAAAGCGGTCGCGTGCTCTCACACACAGACCCACTCCCGCTCATGGTCGGCAACAAGCACAAGAATGGCATCATCTGCACGTATCCGCACTGCAACAAGACGATGCGCACGCAAAAGTTCAAGATGCACTTCGTGAGGGCGCACCTGAAGAACGGAGAGGACTACTCCGTCGAGCACCGACGTCGGTACGAAGTCGCGCGGGAAGAGACCGCTCGTCAAGCGGTCGAGGCCACGAACCCAACCGATGGGCTGACTGCGGCTGGTTCGCCAGTACTCCTTCCAATAGCGACAACAGCAACGACAACAGCAACAATAACAGAAGGAGAAGAAGGAGCAGAAGGAGCAGCAACAAGAGATGGGGACGTTCCCAGTGTGGACGTCACGTCTTTACCGTCTTCAAGATCACCCGTTCGAAACAAGACTTCCGTGACGTCGTACTCCAAGTCGGCAGCTGGCACAGTGGGGCAGAGCCAGCAGCTGCCACTGCCGGTGCAAGCGGAAGGGGTCGAAGTGAAGCGAGAGGAAACGAGCGACCCATCCAGCACGCCAACTCCTATTCGTGGCGGTGTTTCTACTGCTGCACCGAGTGGGCACGCAGGGGAGCAAGCACGAGGCAGCAAACGCTCAGCAGCAGCATCGACGGTAGAGGTGTCTGCTGAGCATGTCGACCCAACGAGTGCGCTAATGATGCAGTTTGTTGCACTCATGGACCAGCGGTTTCAGGAGCTTGTGGGAAAGATGGGCGAAATGATCGATGTACAGAAGGAGTTGATCGATACCTTGCAGGCCAGTAACCCACATGGAAAAGCACCAGCGTCGGCATTCTCGCACGCTATTGATGTCGTGATGAAACGACGCAAGAAAAACACAACACCTTGTGATAAGGAGAGCCTGGGTGAAGACGGTGCTGGCAGAAGCCATAGCGACACGGACGGCACTGGACATTCTAGCAGCGGCTTCGAGTTGTAGGGAATAGCGCGAAGCCAGCGCCTGATATCATTAGTTCCTCTCGAGTTTGGCGATCGAACACTGCTTTACGTTTGCAGTCGAAGTGGTGGGGACACGAAGTCAGACTGTTGCTGTCGTCGAAAGCAGATCTGTAGCGTATACTCCGTCCCGTTGTCGTTTGCACGAGAAAAAGCGAGTGGTCGAAGTCAATAGCAACGTGACGTGACTAGCAGCAGTAAAAAGGAGACTCTCGGCTGGTTCCGAGCAGACCTTCTCCAGAAACAAGTGGGGATGTACTCGGCCTCCTGGAGGGTACGCTTTGACATGTGTGCTGCAATCAAGCTGTTTGTTGACTACCGACTGACACGACCTTGTTGCTCTTATTCGTGCAAGGTAGCAGCATGTCCTACCAACTCGCCATTGGTTGTGCTGCTGCGTGGAGGAAGTGATTGACAATACCGTTTGCTTCATGAAGACTTGTGACGCAATTTGGCAGAAGTGAGCTCGGCGTTCGTGGTAAGACCAATTGCGTGGCAGATCCAGCTTGAGCAACATGGCGCACCATATAAACGTTTGTGTAAGTCTTCACCAACGAGAAGATGACGCAGTAGTGGAGCTGGATAACGATGTCGTCAATCTGTTTGTCCACCGCGTGAAGCACCGGTCAAAAACATATTGTGCTTATCGAGTTGAGAGACCCGAGATATCGTCAATCCAGTCGCAGTCGCGAGGGAGTGATACGTCAGTCCGCAAAACTCATGGGTCGTCAGTGTGACGTGCATGTCTGCTCAAGACGTTGGTCCATGCGGCAACTAAGGAAGAACAGCTCGACCCGAGCAGTACAACCTCAGCCCAAAGTGGTGTAAAAGATGTGCGTTTCCAGCTGAACTGCTACGTATCATCTCGCACGAATATGTTAGTGGATCCAACGAAGCGATTGTGTCAGCTGCGCGTGAGCATCGCACGACGTGCCATCGTAACAAGTGCACGATGTACCCACAACTTATGCCATCGAAACAAATGCCATCGAAAAAAGGTCCTGCTGCTTCTTTTGGTGGCACATCTGGAAACAAAGCTACTTGTTTCTCGCACTGCTTTTCGTCATGGCAAAAAAGCACGTTTCTTACTTTACGGTCTGCCCTCTCCTCGATCCACGAAGGTTGGTGGAAAACCCACGAAAACGACTAAACGAGGCACTTGACCAAGTCACGGAGCGAGTGGAAGAGTGGCGTTTAGGACCGCCTCCTGCCTCGCAGAGCCTCTCTCTCTCTCTCTCTCTCTGTGTGTCCCTCTGTCTATCCCCCTCTGTGTGTCGTGTCAAGATGGTGATGTCCAAGAGCAGTAAGATGCTCAACTACATCAACTACCGCATGAAGGTGACGCTGCAGGACTCGCGCGTGCTCGTGGGGTACTTTATGGCGTTCGACAAGCACATGAACTTAGTGTTGGGCGACTGCGAAGAGTTCCGGACCCTGCGCGCCAAAGTGAAGCTGAGCGTGTCGGAAGAGCGCGTGGAAAAGCGCCACTTGGGCCTCGTGCTGCTGCGGGGCGAGAGCGTCGTGTCGCTGACGGTCGAAGGGCCGCCTCTGGCCAAGGAGAACGAGACGGTGGGGCCCAACGGACCGGGCGTCGCTCGGGCAGCTGGACGGGGCATTCCCACTGCGCCCATGGGAGCGGGTGCACTGCCGATGGGACTTATGGCGCCGATGCGGGGCATTGGGGGGCCGCCCTCGGGCATGATGCAGCCGGGACAAGGTACACTTGCTCTCTTTGCTTTCGTGTTGATGCATTTCGACTCGTTTGCCTGGCGACGTACCTCTTGATGGGTACGGCAACGTCGTAGCCTGTGTGTGTGTGAGTGTGTGTATGTGAGTGTGTGGGTGAGTGTGGCTGGCTGGCTGGCTCCAAGTGATTACACGAACAGATAAGTGATCGGGCGCACGGTCGATTTTTTATCCGAACCCGACTGAGCACAATATAGGAAACTACTGCCTACGATCTTAGTCTGATGGAGTCGGCCACACCCACGAGCCACTGCGACGTCGCCGTTCTGTGCACTGGAAAGCTCGGCTAACGTCGGTATTGTGTCGTGTACGTGTTGTGATGTATTTGGTTACAGTGGCAGCAATGGCACAGCCGCAGGCGTACGGCCGAGGTCGCGGTATGCCCGGACTTCCCGGTGGTATGCCCGGACTTCCCGGCGGTATGATGCCTCCTCCTCGACCCATGCCAAGCATGGGAATGCCCCCTCCTGGTATGGGCCCGCCACTTGGAATGGGAATGGGCCCGCCACCGGGAATGGGACCACCGCCGGGCATGATGCCTCCCCAGGGCATGCGTGGGCCACCAGGTCCACCGCCTGGCATGCGAGGTCCACCGGGACAGTAAATCGTTTGGCACATCGCCGACATGAAGAAGTGATGGCGTGAAGTCGGACAAGCCAGGCTAGTGCAGGATGATGGACGAGCTGATAGGAAGAAAGCGTATGACTGGCAAACAAGGTATCGTATTTGCCTTCACGTGTGCTTTGTGGTTGACCTTGTCTTGCCTTGCATGACTAATGAATGTCATGGTACCCTTGTTGGTCGTTATTTAGAAAGAGACCGCCACCGGCAATGAGATCCTTCATGAGCTGGCTACGTGTGATTGTGTCGTTGTAGCCAATCTGCTTTTTCCATGAACGCGTCAGTCACTGTGTGAGTGTTTTGCGTGTTCGACGTGCCTGCACCCGCTGCGGCTCCTATTGTGGCAGAAACACTTTTATTTTTCAGTGCTTGCACATGCCAAAGTAACTTGCAGCAAAACAGAAGAACTTACATTGCACGTTCATTCAAACCGCAGTCGCTCAGTCGGTCTCGGCGTCATGTAGTAATTGACGTCTACTGCGTCCAGGACTATTTCTCGCTAGACGTGCAACAATTGGCAAAACAGAACGTGCGTCACAACTCGCCTGCGAGCTGTAAATGTATTGTGCTGCGGATGTGTCGCACGTGCGTGCAACAAAAGATCTACGACGTATACGTCAGCAGGTATGGCTCTAGCTACAAGCAGCGACACGTGTGTGAAGCGTCTCCAGATTTGTTGACTCGCAGTGGAGTATGGCCGTCCTGAATGTTACGACTTCCTGCAATGCGAATGGGCTTTCACTATCCGAAGAATGCGTTTCCAGTTCAGGAATGCTCTCTTCTCATTTTGCACAGAGCTGGTGAGGTAAACTGCTGTACTCACCACAATTGACACACCATCGACGTGGCCGGAGCAACGTAAGTGCTTATCTTTGTGTGAATCGCTTGGTGTACTGCACGCTGACAGATCGAGGCAAGACGAACATTAAATGAGCTGCAGATCGCAGTGCTGTTTCTCAATTGTCGAGACAAACGGTAGGGGTTTAACGGTTAGCAATTGGCTTATGATCAGTATCTTTTTCACTTTGACTGTACTCTCTGCATCGTGTACACACTGAAGTCACTGAACTTGGCATTCATTCTCAAGGTTTCTTGACGGTACGACAGATCAAATGATGTATCATTAGGTCCGCATTCACCTGGTTGGAATGCTTTACACATTAGTTGCGGACACCAAGCGACAAAAGATCAAGGAAAATAGCCTCCAAACATACGTGACGGGGTTCGATCGGTGATCCATTCGCACCGCGACCTCGTCGTAACTGCTGCTTTTCTTTGTCGTTGCTCTCTCCAGAACATTGAGCTGTACCCTCTTCGGCTTACAGATACACACTTTAACTGTTGTTTCGTGAAATGGAGTGAGTGCTCGTGGCGAATCTGAAGAAGATCGCGGCATTGTCGCTCCACTGGTACGTCGACAGTGTCGTGTCACAACATTGTTCTCAGGTTTTCAATCGTATTGCAGCCATTCCCACTGTCGCCCGTCGCGGACCTCGAGATCACATTTCAAGCCCGAGCTCTTTCTGACTATTCCCTCTGAGCGTCGCATCAACATCAGAGCTGAAGGCTGAGGCTCTGACTCCGCACAAGTGCTACTTCGAGCACAACTATTGACAAGTGGCCGTCGATATCACTGGCACAATGGAACAGACAGACACAGATTTACTCACATTCGAACACACATAACCTGTCAAATAGCAAAGCAGATGGGCACAGGAGTCGGACGGATCGCGAGCACACAGCAAACGATTCGGCCGCGTCGTGCGTCGCCGTCCATACAATTGCGCATATGCGTCGAGCGACAAATCCGAGCAGAAGGTCCGCACACATAATCCCATCGCCCACTGTCCTACCAGCACAACGCACGGAAACGCGCACCCAAACCCACCGACGCCCGCGATCTTGCGCGACTCCGCACCCCACTCGCTCTCTCAGTGCGTATCTTTCCCCAAGTCGGTCTCTCGTCACCCGCCGCACCTTTCGCCACGTGAACGCCACCAGTCGCGTCGCACGCAACGAACGAACGAACGAACGAACGAACGCCAGTGCCCCCACCAGTCCACAGAGAGTCACTTACAGACCTACAGACCTATCGACCTATAGAGACAGACAGACAGACAGAGAGACAGAGAGAGAGAAGCGATGCAGCACTCCCAGAGCGACGTCGCGCTCGGCACAAACGGCAGTTGGGCCGACCTCAAAGTCGCGGAGGGCCTCAAGAGACGCTGCAACACGGCACAGAATCTCCAGTTCTACGGTACGCCCCATCCCCACCCACGCACGCACTCACTCACTCTATGACTCTCTGTGTCGAAGTCTGCCACAGTGTGTCCTCGTCCCATCCCCTTCTAACCTCACCGCTTCTTGTAATGTGTCTGCCCCCTCTGCTCTCTCTCTCTCTCTCTCTCTCTCTCTCTGCCAGTCGAAGAGCAGAAGCGGCTGTACCACGAGCTGCCGTTCTCGGTCCTCCCGGGCATGCGGCGGCAGTCGTTCCAGCGCGAGCGCAGCTCCTCGAGCCTCAAGACGCGCAGCTCCTGGGGCTCCTTCACGAACCTCGTGGCCCGGGGCGAAGACCAGCCGCTGCTGGGCGCAGACGACGAGTTCCCCGAGCCTGGCTACACGTTCCCGTTGCTCCTGAGCTGCGGCGTCGCGCTCATGAGTGCGTTCCAGTTTGGCTACAACACGGGCGTGACGGGCGGCGTGAACCCCGACCTCATCTTCCCCGGCCACTCGGACATGCAGTGGGCCATCTGCGTCTCGATCTTTGCCATTGGCGGCCCCATTGGCTCGCTCACGGCCGGCCACATGAGCACAGCCCTCGGGCGGAAGAAGGCGCTGCTCGTGGACTCGTTCCTCTTTATCATTGCAGGCGCCATCATGGCGCTCGCGGTCAACATTTACGCCCTGATCCTGGGCCGCTTCCTCGTCGGCTTTGCGTCCGGCACAGTCAGTGTGGTCGTGCCGCTGTACTTGGGCGAACTCGCGCCGCCGAACCTGCGGGGAGCGCTGGGGACCGGGTATCAGCTGTTTATGGTCATTGGCGTCTTGGTCGCTGGGCTCTTGGCGTTCAGCTTCTCTGGCGAGAGCTACGGCCTCACGCAACCTGGTTGGCGCTTTTTGTTTGGCTTCACGGCCATACCCGGCATCTTGCAGCTCGCGCTGGCGTCGCTGCTCACGGAAAGTCCGCGGTGGCTGCTTACGAAGAACCGACCAAAGGAGGCGGCCGACATCCTGCGTCGCTTGCGTGGCTCGAACGACGTGTACGAGGAAATCGACAGCATCTGCTCGGCCAGTGACAACGAATCGGGTGCCAACACAGGCATCTGGGCCGTGCTCACGGACAAGAGCGTGCGCTTCCCGCTCGTGGCAGCTGTCGTGCTGCAGATATCGCAGCAGTTTAGCGGCATCAATGCCGTCATGTTTTACGCAAGCTCTTTCTTCAAGAACGTGGGCTTGAAGGACCCGTTGGTCGGGGCGACGCTGGTGTATACGGTGAACGTGCTTGCCACTGGCGTTGCACTTGTGCTCATGGACACGGCCGGTCGTCGACCGCTGCTGATATACTCTGCCTCGGGAATGATCGTCTCGAGCGTCGTGCTGACGCTGGGCTTGATGGACGCACTTCCGTTTGCAAGCATGGTCAGTGTGGGCGGTGTCATGTGCTTTGTGTGGTTCTTTGAGATCGGGTTGGGTCCGATTCCGTGGTTGATTGTCGCCGAGATGTTCCCTGCCAAGCCGCGACCGACCGCCATGAGCATTGCCACGATGGTGAACTGGTTGTGCAGCTTCCTGGTCGGGCTCATGTTTCCGACCATGCAAAGCAGTCTGGGCCAGTACACGTTTGTGCCGTTTGGCATTTCGCTGTGCTTGGCGCTCGCCTTTATCTTCAAGTACGTGCCGGAGACGAAGGGCAAGACCATCCAAGAGATCCAGGAGGAGCTCCAGTCGAAGCAGCAGTCCATGAGATGAAGAATGAACCACGTGGCCAGCCAGCGCGTAAGAGAAGCTGTGCACATGGACTCGTTGCAGTAGAAGGCACCGCGGACGGGCACAAGAGAGAGGACGCGTGACAATAAAGTGCTAGCGGGAGCAAACAATGGCCTTCGGTGTATAACGTGTGGGACTGACTGACTGTCTCCTTGAGCAGGCACAGCACAGTGTACAGAGCGCACGGACGAACGGACGGACGGACGGACGGACGGACTTTCAGTCGGCACGTGTCCCAGCAACGCACTCGAATCAACTGCCGTTCGCATGGAACTATCGCTAGATCTTGCGCCGCTTCTTCGCGTCGTGCTTGAGGATCTTCTTCACAACGCGATTCTTCTGTGCCTGCACCTGCCGAGCCGACACGAGCACCTTCGACTGCACCGATTTGCTCTTCTTGATCATCATAAAGTGCTTGAGCCGCTTCTTCTCCGAGTTGGTCGTGCCGCCGCCCGAGCGCTTGTGCTTGTAGTCCTCTCGGCCTTCCAGCACCACGCGCAGCCGCTCCTCCTGCGTCAAGCGCTTCTTCTTCGCGTACCCCTCGAGGTCCGTTGGGTTCACTTTCGTCGCATCGGAACTCGCTTGCGCCGCATCGCCTTCGGCTTTGCGCTTACTCCGCGACTTGGGGTCCCGCAGCGCGGCGTCCCGTTCCTTCCTGAGCATCTCAATGCGCTCAAAGTCCAGAGGGGTCAAAATACGACGCGCATCCAATCGGTCCGACTGCTCCGTCGTCTCCGCCTCATTGCACTCGTCGACGGTCTCATTTGCCACTTCAGCTGCTGCGCCCATCGGGTCCGAGTGCGCCTCTTCGTCCTCGTTAGCGCCGGCATCGGATGAAACGTCCACCCACTCTTCGTCGTCCGATCCCTCGACGTCCGACGTCAATGACGCCACTTCCCACCCGTCCCGTCCGTTCTCGTCGTTGTCAAAGCGTCCAGCAGCTTCCGCTTCGGCCAACAGGTCGGCGCCGTCTACGCCTTCGCTTGCAACGAGTTCGCCAAAGCGATGGGGTCTCGCGGCCTCTGTGTAGAACTTGCCGCGGTCTTTGCGCCTGAGCAGCGCCGGATGGACTTGGCGAATGAGGTTCAAAACGCCCCGAGCGGCCATGACGACCGTCTTGTCGCGCACGCGGTTGTACTGGATCAAGTCGGCTACCAACACGTCAATGCCGTCGCACTCGAGCAGCAGTGGAATGCGGCGGAAGAGCTCTCGCAGTGCATTGATCCCGACGGCAATCACTTCGGACGAACAGCGCTCGGTGACAAAGTTGTGGGCAATGCTCTTGACAATGGGCAGGAGCTCTTCGGGGGGAATCTCGTCGTGACACGACTGCACCAGGTACGCCAAAATGGCCGTCACGCTCTGCTGGTGCGACTGCAGGTAGCGCTGGAGCAGCGGGTAGAACGGCAGCAGCACGAGCTTGTGGAAGCCCACGACCCGACCGATGAAGTTCATCATCAGTAACTTGACCTCGAAGCGCTCTGTGCAGCGCTTGAGCAGCTTCAGCTGCCGCTCGACAACGCCCTGTGGATCGTTGAGCAGCTCAATGGCCGGGAACGTCGTCATGAACGTGAGGTCGCGTTTCCGAGCGCGTTTGTTCTTGTAGAGCGCTTGCAACGTGTCCCGCTGCCGCTTCTTCGTCTTCTTCGAGTGCGCGTGGAAGTCGACCGGCACGAGCGCCTTCTTCTCTTTCTTCTGCTGCTCTTCGTCCTCGAGAATGTCGTCGTCAATGCCCAGGAAAAAGCTCAGCGCCATCACAAGCAGCTTCGTGTTCGAACTCGTGCACGCCGTGGCAATCACATTGACACTGCGCTGGTCGTGCCAGATCTTGCGCTTGAAGAGCTCCATGAGCACCTGCAGCGACTTGATCGCTGCGTGGTCGCTCTCGTCCTCGAGCATCTCGAAGAGAAAGTTCTGCAGCGCTTTGTTCACTTTGACATTGCGCGACGTGGCGTTCAGCTGCCGCAGGTCCGCGACAATGTGTTTGTACAGCAGCTCGCGCAGGCGCTTGTCCGGGCACCGGAAGAGCTCGAAAAAGAGCTTGAGCAGCGTGATCGCGTCAATGAGGCCGCGATTGCGCAGCAGCATGAGGCTCTGCACGAGCGTCTTGCGGAGGTCGGGCTCGAGGACGAGGTAGTGGTCGCGCAGCAGAGAGATGAGCTGCTGAGGGAACGCGGCCATGTCCACGGGATAGCACTTGGCGACGTGGCTCAAGAAGATCACGAGCGCGCCAAAGTGCGCCGACTCTTTCGTCGGCTGGAGAAGGAACAACTGGTACTCGGACTCGAAGTGGCGCTGCTGCATGCGGAACTCGGCGCGATAGCCCTCGGGGTCGCGCTTGACCATGTTTTGCAGCTGCGGCAGTTTGCCGAGCACGTCGGGTCGAGACGCATTGATCGCGTCCATGATCTTCTGCGTGTGTGTGGATGGACGTGTGCGTGTGCGTGTGCGTGTGCTGTGGCGGCCCTGTCGCGAGCTGCCGGTGCGGCGTCGAGGCACTTGATCTACTGGAAGCTCTGCAACGTTTGACGTGCTGTGCTCGCGTCCATTCATTTGGACAGAGTAGTACGCCTCGGTTTAACGACATGTCGTCGGTTGTGAGAGGTCATGGGGGACTTTGTCCTGACTTTACGGACCGTACGGGACGACATTGACGTCGGTCTGCTCGGTGTCAATGGCCTTTTAGTGACGCTCGAGACGGTTTCGTCAGCACTGACTTCTTTCGCTGGGGGTATTCCTAGTGGCGTTTGTTTTTTTGATGGTCCTCTGTCCAGTTCTGGTCGACACGTTGTGCATGGACAGATGCATTGGAGAAGGCGGTAGTTCGTCACGTGATTGCGACCGTTCGAAGCCCAGGTGCGCTGATCTACTGCGCTGACGTGCACGACTTTGCCATGGACGCGACACCAATCTCTCTTTGCAGGTCAGTGGCTGCAACAGGTGTGATCGACACTGACGAACAGCGTCTTGTCAAAGCGTGTTCAGCCTTCATTTGCAGCGTCCCGTGTTTGTCGACTGGTCATGAGCCCCTTTGAAGTCGCATAAGTTGATGCGGATCTTTGCAGTCGCGTGGCTGCGCAGTCGCAGACTATAAGTTGATACGTGTAGTTCGTCAGCGCTTTACATGAGGTCTCACGCATAGCAGCGTACGTGTGCATTGGCAACGAAAAGGACCACAGGTGTCTCACTTGTTCTTTTCCGACGTCCCACAAAGGTATCTATCGACAGTCAGAGCGTTGGTGAGGAAGTACTCATAGCTTTGTATCCGAAAGATAGCAGCTATCTGTCACTCGGTATCGCCGACGGATACACTGCGACACGTGCGTCGTGTGTCTTCTCCCTCGCACGCATTGACCGCAATTCGGTCTCCCGCTCTGTTCCAAGCCCCAGCACAGCGATACTGTAACGACTCAAGAGGAATCGCGACGGAAGGGGCGTCGACAAACAAGAGAGACACTAACGTCTGACAGAAGAAGTACCGAACGACGTGGCGCTATTGCACACATTGACGTGTGGACTTTCGACGGCGCAAAGACGACAGTTTGTACCCCAACGAACTGCGTCTCATCGCATACAATCAAAAACTGGGCCAATAGCGACAGAACGACACTCACTTCCGCCCCCTTCTTCGGTCGCTCGAGCCATTAAACCAGTGGTCGAACATGTTTACGCTGCGCTGTGGCTTCCCGTGTTGGGTGACTCGCGTTCAGTATACATTGCGTTCCTCCATCTCCTTCTTCTTTGAAAGTCAGAAGAGATGAGAGAGAGAGAGAGAGAGAGAGAGAGAGAGAGAGAGAGAGAGAGAGAGAGAGAGAGAGTCAGCAGGTTGGACGGACACCTGCGGTTCCCAGACCGCACAAACGTTACTTCACACAGCGACACCCTCTGTCTGCTTCGTCGTTTGCACGAAAGAAAAAGCGAAACGGGCGGTATACCGCCTTTTTTTCTCCCAACCCTTACTCACTCACTCACTCACTCACTTACTCACTCACTCACTGCATCGGCCGTCCTGCGTTCTCTATCGACCAGTGCGCGGCGACTCACATCACGAGCAAATACAGTAATACAGCGCCCGCGCTCTGTCCGTTGCAGTGCTTTTTTTCCGTCGTGTCGTCATTGCAAAAGTCGCCTCCTCGTGAAAAACAGCCGACACAGCGCACGCAATGAGCAGCAAAAGCCGCACGGAAAAGCACTTTTTCACCGACGCCTTCCCGGCCCACGACTACTTGTGCACGACCCAGTCGAGTCACCCGCAGACGCCGCTGTGGCCGCCGTATTTGCCCGTGGACCCCCACCGCGTGTGCATCTTCGAGCGCAGCAAAAACGCGCAGCTCGTTGTCTACACGGCCAACTTCCGGCCCAAAGGCAGTCGCGAACTGGACCCCAAAAAGCCGCTGGACATCAGCTGGCAGAGCTTTGGGTGGACCGCAAGTCCCACGACGAATGCGGTCGGAATGATCGAGCGCCGACTCGCGTGGGGCTACTCGCACAAAGCAGTGGCAGCGGCAGCCGAGGCGTCGCCTGTTGCTGCTGCTGCTGTGGGGACGAGTTACACTGTCACGCTGAACGCGCTGCCCAGTCGCTCGGCGCTTCTGTACGTGGACGCGAAGGATCGGGTCGTGCTGCAGGTCGCGATCAACGGCGTTCCGTCGCGTCTGTGGAAGATTTACGTCAAGACCAGCGACACGCAGACGTTCGTTCCTTCGGTGCTCTACGTCGACCTCTACGGCACGAACGTCGACGACGACGACGAAGCCACGTACGAACGCATTCTGCTCTCCGAAGTAAACTGAACGGGCCGAGACCGGCACTGCATGTAGAAATAAAGTCCATCATTCATCACTCAGTCATTCACGTACTCACTCAGTCGTTCGTTCACGTACTCACTCAGTCAGTCGTCTTGGAACCAGGAGACGGCGTGCGAAAGCAGCGGTACGTCTTCTTGTCTCGGTCTCTCTTCGCAACTTCGTCGCTTGTCGTACCGCCTCTCCTTCGCACTTGGCATCAACGACGTCGAGGCACTGATGCGGGTCTCTCTCTACACGCTCCTCTTTGCATCATACTTGTAGCCACCGCTTGCGCTTTTGTTGTGGCCTTCCGGAGGTGACAAGTTGTATGCCGTTGCGACTTCGTGCAGGAAGCTACTCGAGTTGTGGATGCATGACCCACCCAGCAGGATGCGCTGACCGGAGCCCGACGTTGCCGCCTTCTGATTCAGCTCAGCGACCTTCATGGCTTCTTCGAACGTGACACCACCGCACACGTACACTATGACGTCACGTACGCGCTTCACACCGTTGCTTGCGCTGAAATCAGTCGATGTTGCAGCACCGGCGCTTCCGTTGACAACGCCGAATTCCTGGTCCAGCAGCTGACCTTTCAAGATCAATTCCAATTTCTTTGCGAGCGGAGGAACGTGTTGTGCGTACACGTTCGGCACACCTTGGACTCCTTGTGTGACCGCCCGCATGAACTTTTTCAAACCAGCACGATCGCCATACAAATCGCCTTGCCGGGCCTTCTGACCACCAAACTGCAGGAACGCATCGATCAATGCGACGCGGTCAGAAGATAGACCGCCATCGAAAGCGGTCGCAATCAGCTCTTTTACGGTCTTCAACTGGACCGAGCTGTGTGTCTCGTAGCGCAGCGCATACAGAATGGCCAGTCGCAGTTTGTTCATTGGCTTCACTTGCGCGTCCTTTAGCTTTGCCACGACTTCACGAAAGTGTGCATTGTGGTCGTCTCCACATGCAAGTTCTTGCTCTAGTTGGCTCACATCCATGAGCTTATCCACTTGCACGCGACGTGAGAGTTCACTGATCAGTGCCACATGCTTTGATACCGTCACGGATTGAGCTCGAAACGCTGGGTAGTTTTCCAAGAAACGCTGCATGTCATCGATCGACTGGATGTTCTCGTGCGTCTGTGTCTGCGCTTGGTAAGTGTCCACCAGCTGCTTTACCGCCATACCCAGGTCGCCAAAGTTCGCATGTACGTGCTGCGCAAAAAAGTCGTCCGAGCTCGTCGACAGCACGAGTTCCGTCATGTCTTTTCGCACGTTCGGCGCGTCGCGAAGACTCACACGATTCTCGTGCAAGCCGAGTAGTTCATGGACCATCGCTTGGTAGCACCACTGCGTCAGCAACGGTGTCACAGGATCGTCTTTGCGGTCGAGCACATAGACCAGCGGGACGACGTCTGGCCGTCGAAAGTCAAAGAGGCCATCTTGCTCCAGCTGCATCCTCGCCGACACTTCGCGCGCGAGTTTCTCTGCAACGTCCGACCCTTTGGCGTACCGGATCGCCGGCCTCTTCTTCATGGACAGCAGCAACGACAGCAGCCCTTCGACACTCCGCTGGAACAGCTGCGGCGGCGTCATCGTCGTCTTGTCCACTGGATCCGTCGTCAAAACGCCAGCAGTTGCCGTGGCCTGCAGCGATCCGGCCGCAGCCGCCGGCGTCTTGACACACAGTTGGACCGAGTGGTGCAATCCAAAGTCAAACAGCGAGTCGTTGACGGCCAAGTAGTCGGCGTAGTACTCCTGCACCTGCGCCACGACTTCCGTCTCGTCCGCTTCGGCGAGTTTCGCGAGCGCCTCCGGCGGCACAATGTTCGAGAAAAAGATGTGGTAGCAGCTGTACTTGGGCTGTTTGAGCTCGTGGCGCAAGAGCTCCACGTTCCGCGCAGTGGGCCGTACAAAGACCGCCGCCTTCACGTGCCGCATGGACTCGTGCGACGCGCCCAACTGCTCGACGAGAAAGACTTCGCGCTGGAGGATGTGCGACTGCGACATGACGATGCTCACGAAGCTCGTGGTGTCGGCGTCGAGCACGAGGGCTTTCATTCCCGTCAGCTGCGGGTCCGCTATGATCTTCTCCAGGTACGTCTTGACGCTCGCGATCACGTCCATTGTGGTCATTGGGCAACTGCGCACGATCAAGCAGTTTTACTGGAACTGCTTTTTGCTCAAGAAATGCTTTTTGCCGAAGAAAGTTGCTTTTTAAAGAGTCCAAGTGCCGTTGAGCGGTGTGGAAAAGTCCGTGTTAAGAAGCAGTGCAGCGCAACCGAGGAGAACGAGGCGCGATACTATCCTGCAAGTAGCACCGAGCAGCAGGATAGAGAATGTGTACATGTACGATAGTTACGATAGTTAAGACGACAGTTACGACGATAGATACCTCGTGCTTCGCGAAAGTCGCTCGCGACCTCAGCACTCGACAATAACTGCGAGGCTCCAGCAGGCAGTCACAATTGCAAGTACGCTAATGAGCACCGAAGCAACGCGGTCCATCTCCGTGGCATCGTCACTGCACAATTGGCAGTAGAACACGCACGGCAGCACGAGAGCCAAAAGTGCCGTGGGCACGAGCATCCACGCAAAGATCACCAACGTGCTGGGTGCAGTCAAGTAGCCCAACACGAGCGTCAGGAGCACCACCACACTTCGGCACAGCACTCGCGCTGTAGCCCGTACGCCGCCGCACGGTCCTTCTTGCTCTCTTGCACGCACGGGACTTGGCGTTGTGAACAACAGAGTGCCATGAGCTGCAGCAGTTTCCAATGGACTGTCGTGGCCGCTGCTGCGACGAGAAGTCTGCACGATCCACTGTTCGCACGCACGTTGCAGTGGGTACAACGTGATTGTGTACGACAACAAGAGGTGAATGCTGTAGAGCACGATCGCGAGGTTCCGCACGACGGCGTTGCGCATGTTGAAAAACACTGGCGCTTGCAGCGTTGCACCGTACACGGCGTAGGTGAGGCAGCAAATGGGCAGGTACAATAGCGCTGTGGTTCCCAATTTCGTGCGCACAACAACTGCGGTGCATTGACTTGGATCGGCCATCGCGTTGTACAATGTCGGTATGATCGAGTGGCCAAAGAGTCCACCGAGGAGCAGCGAGAACGTGTACGAGAGTTTCCCCATCATGGTCACGTTCGAGAGATCCGGTGTCACAAACACAAAGTCCGAGTGGTCGAGTGCAATTTGCTTGAGCGGGTACATTGCGTCGCCCAGAATGATCGATTCGATCCAGAAGCTAAAGGCGACGTTCACGATGGACAGCATCGCGAGCGCCCGGAGCGACGGTACAAGCACTTGGAACCACACGCACACTGCAACGAGCACCATGACTGTGCCGTACTGCAGTCCCAGTACATCCACGAGACACCACGTCGTGAGCGTGAGGTATCCAGTGGACAATATCAGCAGCGAGACGTGCACGAGCAGACCCGTGACGAGCTTGCCAGCAGCACCGAAACATTCCTGTCCGAGGTCACTGAACGAGACGCTGGTGCCTCTCAGCCAGCGAACGGCATCCAGCGCGTCGACGAGCAGCTTGGAAGTGTAGGCGCTCACAACGGCTGCTGCAATGAGCAGCAGTACGCCGTACCAATTGATCTCGACGAGCGCCAGCGGTAGACACAGCATCCCCGTGCCCGTAATGAACGACAGCAAGTGGTAGAACGTCTGCCAGTTCGAGAGCTTCAGCTGCGACGTCGTGGACGATGTCGCAGACACGGGAGAGACCGCAGCGAGCGGCAGCCACGACGACGCGGCGGCTCTGGACGACGCGTCTTTGCTGCTACCGCGGGCTGTGCTGCCATAGTCGACCACAGGGCCGTTGTGGACCAGGGAAGAGGCGCTGGGGGCAGTTCCTGCGCGACTGTCGGAGCTGCTCTTGGACCCGTTGCACTGCGTCGGCGGCGCACTGGGCACGAGGCAGTGCGTCTGGAAGCTGCGACTTGTGCGCTCGCTGGTCATCCGCTCGGACGCTCTCGTCGCGACGGGTCAGCGAGTGGATCTACGACCGTCAGCACCAGACGAAAATCGAACGGCACAATAGACGGAGCAGGTGGTACTCCGCTCGTGTGGTGCACACGTCGTACGGTACACAACGCACCGTTTCGTGTCTCGAGTAATCGTTTTCTTCGTCGTTCGTGTAGTACTTTCGGTTTATTTTGCGTGGTGCTGAATGTCGTCGGATGCAGTCGATTAGACTGACGACGTACGTGACGTCTCCAGACATCACAGACCTCACTCGGTCTGATCGAATCGCGACTCATCATACGATGCTGCAGTTCTTGAGGACTCGAGTGGCGAGACAAAAGTGGTAACGGACGTTCAATGTGATTGTCTACCGTGAGTCGATTGCACCAGTTACTGTAAAGTCCATCGTTGCTGCTGTGTAGTCCGTACGCCAGAAGCTGCATGATCGGTTCGCTACATTTATACTTCTTCGTGGCCATGCAAACTGGGCAGAAAGCTACGAGTGACATGTTCGTTCTGTTGCTGCAATGGCTACGAATGGGCGACGTCCCACATTCAGTGTTCGGTGTATGCGGGACAACGATTGGACCATCAAGTTGAAGTGTGGACAGCGCAGGCAGATCAGGTGGAGGACATGTGTCGCAGCAAGTCAGCCGGCTACGTGCATGTGGCGAGACTGGATAGTGTGTGCTGCTTGACTGACTGAAAGCTTAAATGAGTTACCCTGTCGATCGCAGTCGGTCTAACCTCTCGCTCTTCGGCTACAGACTGACGCCTTCGAGTTATCAAGTGGCCTCATGTAGGAAAACGGAAACGACAAAGCCCACGTTCGGTTCATTCTTCGCGCTCTGTTGCTGTTGTCACTTGCATACGTGCCTACTGAGGGGGCTCCCACTCAAACGGCTCAGGAGGCTCTGCTTCATTCTCTGCGCCCGCAGCAGCAGGTGCCTTTACAGCCTCCACATCCTCCGCCTCGTCGGGCGTTGTGTCATGCAGCATGATGACACCCGTCAGCCTCTGTGTGGGGTACATTACCGGAATGTACCGCTGCGATTTATCGAGGGTGATCACAGATTCCTGTGCCAACGTTACGCGAGCAGGCGTCGTAAATGTAAACCTGCTCGGTTCTTTAGCTGCTGCTGCTGCTTTTGGACCAGCAACTGGCTTAGACCCCACGGCATCCACCTCCATAGCCTCACCGCCTTCCTCCTTCTTCTCTTCGTCGTCTGCAGACGTTTCCTTCTCCTCCATGACGATGTCGCCACTGGCATCAAGAACTTTGTCCGGCTTTTCCTTTGCATCCTGCTTCGCCTGGCGTGCGCGCGCCTTGGCGGTTGTCGACAACACCGCCGTGGCGACAAGCTCCTTCTTTTCCTCTTTTTTCTCCTCCAGTCGCTTGGGTGTGGCAAAAGCGGACTCCTTCGCATTACAAATGAGCTCAAATCCACGCGGAAGCTTCAGGTCCTTGTTGAGGCCGACCGCCATCGTCGTCTGGAACGACAATTCCAGGAAGTTGAAAAGAGGGTACCAGAACCAGTGCTGTGCCCAGATTGCCAGTCCAACGACAGCGGCCATCTTTGTGAACCCGGTGGGAGACTGCAACGAAATGACGACGTTGCGACCACCTGCGTCCAGGATACCCTGTGCCAGGATGGCACCCATCTTGGTCATCGTGGTCACGTGTTTATCCGTGATCAGCTTCAGAATTTTGGCGCGGATCGATGCCACCTTTGGATTACAGCCCTCAGACTCCTGCATCATTACCATGGCCAATGCCAACAGCGCGCCTTGACGTACGTAATCTACGGCGTCATCAAGCAGTGGCTCTAGCAGCTGGATTGCCTCGTTCTTGGCGGTACCAGCGCACGCAATACCGACCGCTACACAAGCGCCATAGCGGACATGAGGGTTGAAACTCTCAGCCAACAGCGACACCAGTTTCGGCACTTGCACAGGCGTACGGAACAGGATAAAGCCGAGGCATGTTACAGCAGCACGGCGTACATCATCCGAAACATCGCTCACAGCGACGTGCAGGAGGCGCCGAATCGCGTTGTTGTTTGCCGTGCCGGCGTATGCCATTGCTATGGTGTACATGGCACCATAGCGAATCAGCGGGTCCTTGTCGCGGGTCAGCTGCTCAATCAGTGCATCAGCCTGCTCTTCGCGTTCGTACATTATCAGCGCAATGCCCATCACGCAGCCACGAATGATTTTCTCGTGCTTCGTGTCATGCGCGTAAGCCAGCAAGTCCTTGACAATCTCACCGTTGCGTGCTTCACCACCTGCACCAAGCAACGTCAGACCGATGGCAATCCCTGCACCTTCGCCTGCGACCGCTGAGTCAGTGAAAAGCACGGCTTTCAACTCTTCATATAGTTCGTAGTCATGCAAGGCTAGCCCACACAGGCCGATCCCCAAACACGCGCCATGCTGCACGGTCTCGTCCGAGCCAGCGTTTTTCAGCGCGTTCCGCAGATACTGCATCGTGTTCTTGCTGCCGGCACTTGCAAATCCCTTGTTCGCGTGGATCAGACCCATCGCGTAGAGAGCCCCGCCCTCCGAGTACGGAGAAGTTGTTATACCGCCCTGTGGTAGGTACGGGGCAAGAAGGTTCATGCTTTCACGAACGTGGCCCTTGTGTACTACACCCAGACTAGCAGTGGCTGTGAACTTGGCCCAGTTGGTGGCCTTTCCGAGCCACTCGAGGTTCTCGCGCAAAAACGAATCTGACGTCGTGCCGCAATTCATGTAGGCGTGCGCAATCACAGCAGCGTGGTGCAGCACCGAGTTGCGATTCTCGACAGCCGTCTTGATGGTCTTCATAATGAGTGGATCAGAGTCGCTTCGGCTGTGAAGAAAGTCGAGCTTTAGGTCCACGAGGAATTCGCCCGACAGGATCTGCTTTAGTTTCGACAATTTATCCCAGTAATCAGCACGTGCACCGGCAGGCGCTGGAGGAGGCGTGGCAGGCACAATCGACGTTGCAGGATCGGATGCAAGCGACTCCGTCTTGCCCTCTTCAGCCGTAGTAGTCGCGTCTGTGGCCGCCGATTCAGCAGGTGGAGACGGTGGACTTGGCAGCGAGTGATAGACATTCATGAGAAACTTCTGGTTCTCGTTTTCGTTGAGGTCGAACACCACTTGGAAAGCAATGAGGCAGTCGCAATCAGTGCCACGCACGAGCTGCTCAAGAATCTTGCTCACTTCCACGTGATTGTCCAGCACCTGCAATACCTGACACAGACTCACGTGGTCTTGGGTCGGTCGCGAGCGGTACACTTCCAGCATGACTTCAAACACCTTGAGACGAAAGTGTCGGTTGCTCACAACCGTCTTGCAAATCTCGAAGCAGTACGAGAGAGCAGCCGACACGTCTGTAGAACGAGCGAGGCACTCCTTGACCTGGTCCAGTCGCCGAGCTTCTAGAGCAATGCCCATAGCCTGACGAAACTCTCCTGCCGCGTAACAGCGCTCAAACATGCGTTCCACCACATGTGTCAGTCGCGGGTCCAGTGCCTTCTCCGCCTCCACGTCTTCCTTGGCACGCACAGCCACATAATTGTCGATGCACGTGGCAATGATCGTGTCTGTATACTGCGAGCGCATGTTTAGATCCAAGTAGTTGCCAGCTCCGAGCGCCAAACGCAGCGCATCTTCGTATTCCTCCAAGTGGAAAAAGCACTTGGACGCCACGTAAGCAGCTAGTTCACGGTTCGGAAAACTCTTTTCCTCCGACAGCTCTTCAATGAGTGGAATGGCGTCGGCAATCTCTGCCCAATGGTGATCCACCACCTGGTTCAGCTGTTCCAGCGCATGAGCCTGAACAATCGTCATGATCATCACCCACCCACATCAGGATATCAGTATCAGTGTCAGTACTCCTGCTGTCATCATACTGATGACGCCATTGTTATTGTCGTGATGCTCACGGCGTCAGCTGCCGTCGCAAGACCAGCACCGCCTGCCCCAGTAGCTCCAGTAATCGACGTACCTTCAGCACATTGTCTTCTTCTTCCAGCAGCGACAGCACACCCGCAGCTGAGTCAGTAGCAGTACATACGTAGCCACCGAAATCAAAACAAGACATCCGAGACAGTGTTACAATTGATATCAAAGCGGCACAACGCAGTCACGAGCGGCTGTCGCCACGTCGGACGGGAGTGGCCGACCACAGAGAAGGGACGTGCTGCGACGTCTCTCGCGTGGCAGGAGCGGTGCGCACGTACCGGACTGTCCGATCGCGACTGTCATTCGGCTCGGGCGGTGTCTGGTGGGGCGTCACACGGGGCGAGAGAAATCTTTTGCGGCACTCACTCCCCCAGGCCGAGCTCGTGGTCGTACTTAATGGAGACACCACCACGACGGGCCGAGGGGTTCGGATAGTTGATGTGGATGCAGTGTCAAGCGTGATGTGATAGAGTGTAGGCGATTATCAAGTATGAGAGCACTAGTGATTTACGGAACGGCTGGCGACGCTGCACAATTTACCAAGAGAAATGTTTGTCTAGAATGGATTCGTCGCGTTGTCGATGGCAAGAGCATATAACAAGTCTGGCGAGGCAGGTTGGGCTTCTGGTACACTACTTATGCGTCGTACGCAGTAGTGTTTCTCGTAACTGAGACGCTGAGGTCGCTAGTAGACATGGCAATTTTAGCACCTAGAAAGACGATGAAGCAAGCTCTAGAGCTCGCTGTTAGGCATGAGTGATCATAAGGCTGAAGAAGGTTTTGTATATTCACATACCCTTTTAGTCGCTACAGTCGGTGACAAGCTGCAGCAGCTTTAGAGGTAAGGTCAATGTGATGAGGAGAGGAGATACGACGGCTGGTTTCGACTTGCAGCGACACATCAGTAACAAGGTGCGACCGACAACATGTAGCGGGGCGATGATAAAGTTTACGCTAAATTTAGTATAATCCGCCGAGCGGGAAAAGTGACCATTAACATCTTACTTTCTCATTCGTAAGTACCACAAGTGAGTGATAAGTACTACGGATAAAGGATGCGGCATGCATGTCCTACAGCCACACACAAATATGAACCATACCTAAACAGAGAGATAGACACACGCAGATAGTAGCTGCCGATACTTTCGGCTTGCACCTTACGCGCACTCATTAATTGTGGTATCATTCGGCCTTGTATTAAAATACGACCAAAGTGTCAAAAACACCAGTTGATCATATCAACTTCACATGGGTTGTCATGCACAGGGAGCAGCAGACTGGCTATCACTCGACATCCATGCATGCTTCTTAATCCAGCTTCTGTCCTGTTGTTCGTAGAATTTATCTCGTCGAATTATTGCATCATCAAAGCTTCAGAATTCGGCTAAAGCGAAAAAATGCCTACGTCTGACTAATCAGTCGACTGCCTGTTGCAAGCGCTAAGCCGCGTCGCTGTCCAAAGAAAAGGAACTGATCCGTTGTGAAATCAGTATATCGTGCTGAGCTTTTGTTATTCTAGCAGCCGCTGCATGACCATTCGCAAGTTTCGTATACCTGGATCGACTGAGCGTTTGCCCTGCAAATAAACGCAGGTCCACCGTTTGTGAAATTCTTACGCAAGCTTTAGCTTCACTTCTTTTGTCTTTTGCGAATCGTAAGTTGGTGTGTGTTCTCGCGACCCTAAACAGGCGAGAGAAACAAACGGTAGCACAGCATACTGTAATCCATGACACTGATGTCCGAGGATGTCGCCATGTTGTGCACTTCTCTAGGTACCTCATCACTACCCCCTCAAAAAAACAGCGCACAGGCTGTCACTTTGGCGCTTCTTGAGTGGCGCGTCACCTATTCTCATATTCGATGAAAGCGAGGAACAAGTTCTCTTTTTCCGTCAGTGCCCTTGCGCCAGTCCGTGCAAACCGCCTCAGTCGTTCATGAACCGGACCAAAAGCCATACCCGACCACCTCCTGAGCTCCACACGCACCTGATGGCGTGTTGTGCCTCCTATCGAAACGCATACCGCATGCTGTTTGACTGGCACCACACAAAGGAACAAAGCGCCCGGATCCAGTGCACACAAAATGGCACGACCTGACCCCGCGCGCACTTTCGAAGAGTGTGGGGCCGCCGCTTTCCGCCATGGCGCCGCCCGCGCCGCTGCTGCGCTTACAAGAGCTCATCCTCTTTGGCACCGACGTGGGCGTGCTGAGCCACACGGCGCTGTCGCTGTGGCACTTCCAGCAGCTGACGCGCGAGCTGCTGCAGGCCGACGCAGCGGCCGAGCACGACGACGTCGAGCGCAGTGCGGACGGATCGGCAGTAGCAGCTGAGCGCGTCCCGACGACGCCGTTGCGAGGCACGGAACTGGGAGAGGGCATGAGCGTCGCTGCTGTTCTCTACGAGGGGCCGACGGACGGCACGGAAGCGGAGAAGAGCGGCCGATTGGACGCAGCGGACCCGTTTAGGGACACGACCGGTGGGACCGACGACTGGTCGGGACACCGATCGCTACAAGGCGTGAAGACCACGATCAATGGACGTTTGACGTCCAGCACAAAAGTCGCGGCAGCCTTTCACCGCTACCGCTGCGTCTTGTGCCTCGATGCGTCGCCGTCTATTTTGTCCATTGACCCGTCCTCTGGGCGGCTATTCCTCGACTTGCTCTATGAGAGTGTCGAGCTCTTTCTGTGGAGTATGCTGCGGCCGATGGAAATAGGCGGCGTGGCCTTCAGTCCAGAGCTGCATGTGTCCGTGTTGGTGCAAGGCGCACTCGTCGAGTCGCTCTGTGTGCTCATGCAGGGCTACATTGTCACGTCCACGAATGCTGCGAGCTTCTTGCAGCTGATCAAGGAACGGTTTGGGCTCATCGAGAATGACTGGGCGTGTCAAGCGCAGGAGCGAGGACAATGGGGGTATTTGGGCAATACAGCACCGGCCTCGCTCGACTGGGTCTTGCAAAACATGGTCTTTGCACTGAACTCGTTGCCATCGGAGTGTGCGCCAATCATGATGCTTGTAACAGATGGTGTCGTGGATGTTCGCGATGTCTCTTCATACGACAACGTCTTGATGCAGCTCGTGCGTCATGATATTCAATGTCATTTCTTGCGCATTGGCGGAGATGGAGAAAATGAACTGGACGCTACATTTGGCTTCGTACCAGACACGCATCTGCTCCGCTTTGTATCTGAGTACACTGGTGGAACCGTGTTTGACTATGAGACTGTTTTCGAGGCTTGTTATGGTACAACAAGTCCAAGCAGCAACATTACCAAGAGAATGACAGGGTTACAGGATGCGTTGTTCTTACGCAAATCGAGTGTGCATGCAAATTCTGCGCCTGTAGTCAAGCTGAACGCGATGGAGAGCACATCGTTTGATGGAAGGACTCTGCTGCCTTTGCACCCTTACCGTATGTGGCGTGAAAAAGTGCACGAATATCGCATATATGCAGACGTGAATCGGATTGTCGAGGCAAGGCTTCGTGAAGGTTTTTCGATCAATAAAATCTATGTGAAGACTTATCAGAGCCCACACTTGACAAAGCAGACCGGTGCCGGCTCTCCTAGAAGTGGCAATGCACCTGCAAGTGATACTAATGAGCAGTACAGCGAAGTTACCAAGTTTTTGCTTGTCTTTTTGCTACAATGGAAACAGAATGTTTGGCTCGAATATGTGGTCTCAACGACCACCGAGTACTCAGCCGCATCAATGGCACCGGCAAGTACGGCCGCCGGTCGACTAGTCAGTGGGCAAGGTATCAACGGTCTGACCTCGCCAAAGGCAGCAAGAAGAACTGCAATTATTTCCAACGGCCAGGGAGCAGCGTGGAGTGAATGGTACGTCAAAATGAACATCTTAGGCTACGCAGACTTTCTTCGTGCGTTCGAAGATACGATGCAGCGCTCACCGGAAAGTGGGGACCGGAGGGCTGCGATCGGAGCAGATCTTCATATAGCCTCGCCAATATTTGTACACGACTTCATCCGAAATGTTCAGGACGTCGATCGCGTGCTGCTGCATCTAATGACTGCGACCACGAGCATACGTGATACCAGTGATTCGGTCGTTAATCAGTTTTCGTTTGGAACGAACCCGACTTCAGCGTCTGCGAATCCGAAAATTACAAGTTCCCACCCTGTCTTCAACATTATTGGCGACCTCTCCACTGTGCTCTGGCACCGTTGGTTCTTCCTGGAGCGATTTGAAATCCTTTCTGTGGTCAAGAGCGAGGCGTTTACGGACTTGTTTTATCGTGATGAGACGTACGGTGTAGAGGAGCGTGAGAGCGTAGACTCACGCTTGCGCGGCCCAGGAAACTCGTCACGACTGATTCACAGGCATGGAGCAAGTGTGTATAGTGCAAGTAGTGGGCACGTTCCGGTTGGGATCGAGAGCCTTGCTGAGCCATTGGTTGCGATTCTCGCGAAATGGTCGTCGCAAAAGCTGTCCCAGGATTTGTTTCTAAAATTCCTGCGTCCGACTGGTGCTGATAAAGGTCACGTCCCGCCTAGGGCCAAGGGTTTGCCCCCTACTATTGCCTCGTATGGAGGGCTTGCACAGCGACGTCGGCAGCGCAGTCATAATAGCAGCACTAGTGAAGGTGCCACACTCGGCGAAGATAGCTGCAATGCAACCGAAAGTAAAGCAGCCCTCTGCTTCGTGCGACTCGAATTCAAAAACAAGACACTATGCGCAATACACGTGGCCTTCTTTGCGACAAAAGCATCGACCCGTCGGCAGGTTTTGGATGATCTAAAGAGCACAATATTTGCGGGGGTATACGAAGTCGCAGTACCGACTCCATCCAAGTTGCTTACGTCATCGCTGACAGAAACGCCAGTCATTCTGTGTCACCGAATGCTAAGTCGTTTGTTTGTTACGCATGACACCCTTCTTTTCCACGGCAACGACCAAAAGCTCAGGCCTTTTAATCTTTACGCAGTATCGCCCATGTTGGGTGCTGATAAAAGCGCGAAAGTTTTACCTCCATCAAATACGTGTTGCGGTGGCAGTGAGCTGAAGCTGCATCGAGTGTTCGGTGCGTACATATGGCATTCGAGTTGGAAGTGGGAAGTACCAAACTTGGCGTCCATGTCGAATGTAATGCGACGACTTCACGAGGCCCGCGTGAGCTGTGGATTTTGGGTCTTGGACTGGAAGATAGCGGAAAGTGATGATGGACACGGTACGCATGTTGAGAGCGTGATTTTCGGGCGAGAAATTCTGATGGAAAATGAAAATGGACGCATCAAAACAGCCCTTCTGCAATATGGTCTCCGTCGTGTCTCAGATACTTGCCTAATGACGTCGTTTTGGATGGAACCTCAGCACGGTGTCGTAAAGACCCGATTATCGAGTAAAGCTGATCACAAAGATAGGTTTCACTGGAGTCTAAAGCAAGCTATCGGGCATGACACACCGTTCGAAAACTATGACGGAGACGCTCGTCGAAGTAGTGCCCGAGGAACTTCCGGGTATATATCTACATCTTGCGTGGATGACAATGTGAAGTCTGAAGAGCCAGGAAGTCCAAATACTGACTCGGGTGGGGAATTAGCATACCTGGATGAGAGCGAACTGTTACATTTGATCCGCGGGTATCTGTACAAGAGCGACCGCCACTTTCTTTCGTGTTTGTACACGTTCGATTGCATCATACATTTTCGTGAGAATATTGAACTGTCGGATCAATCGAGTAAGGATATTGATGGCGTCGTCGGCTCTAGTTGGAGCGTCGATCGACAACTTGCGGCAGAGATTGGCATGATCCTTCCTCCGTTCAGCACAGCCAGACTTCTCGCGACTTCAAACCGGTCAACAGAACATTTCTTGATGTATTTGCAATGTGACAGTGAACCGATGAGTAGGGTGGACGAGTCGGGAATGTTCGAGTTCCCAGTCTCCCCGGCCAACGAGAATCTTTATTCGATGCTTGAAGTTACTTTGAGAGGTCTGAGTGATTGCGAAGTGGCATGGGCAGACTACAACGGGGACAATGTGGCAAACTTAGATATGACTTCAACCAGCAATATTGGCGATGATTGCTTTGACAAGGCAGGTATGGATGGACAGCTGCCGCTGTGGTTAAAGGAACAATTGTCGTTGACTTTCGAGTCTCGTAAGCCGCACCATACCTTAAGTAAAGGAAAGTGCTTTGCTAAACTTGTGAGCAGCGACTGCGTTGTACTGGCATTCTTTCCGTCGCTGGACACTCTGCAGATTGAAAACAAAACGGACAGAGAACCGTCTTCGAAGAATAGTGGTGAAATGGAAGACGAATCGCTTCTCGAAAACAGGTTTGATAAGTTCAAGACGTCATCTGCGGACGATTCGTCTTCGCAACAGTTTTCAGTACAGTCAGCTGAAGAGGACGGACCAAGTTCACGAGTGATGCGGATGTCCGTCTCTGCGGATGATATTGTGCTATATCAAGAACGCCGGCGCAGCTTCCGCGAAGGGTACAAGTCCTGGAGAATGGGTCATTATCAAGGATCTCGTGATGCAAAGCAGAGTTATGGGCGTGATTTTCGAAGACTGCGCCTCCCGTCTACCCCTGAAGATCACGAATTTTGCGAAGAGATCAGCCGCCAGGCGGCGTATGGCTGTGATTTTCACTTACTGATCGAAAGTGCTGGTGGAGTTATGGGTTCAGGTTTCTTTCAAGTTGCTTTTTACGAGTGCTCGATATCAAGGTTATCGACAGACTTACACGAAACTAGTAAACAAACCCTTGATGGTGTGGATCTATCCCACACTGTGTTAAAGCACCTGTTCTTCTCGAGCAATCATGGAAATACGAAGAAAGATTGCATGACGATACCGCTCAACCCTAATCAGCTGAAAACGCCTTCAGCTCGGTCACCGTCAAGTTCCACAAAATATCAATTGAGTGCTGATAGCGCTCTCGAGTCTCGTCGATTTCGCAAGAAAATCAAACGTGCGCACGAGCATAACTTCTCTCGTGGTGTTTACATGGCTCTCCGTGCAGAAGGATCGGTCCAGCACAGCGATTTGCTGCAGGCGCTTTCAAGTTGCATAGAAATTCCTGTAGATTTTGATGTTACACTTCTGTATCACATGATGGAAATTGCCGCATCACAGAAAACGTCCCCGCTGAGTCCGGCAGCAGCAGCCGTGATTTCTGCTGGTATTGGCGCAGATATTCTGAGGGACAAACTGACGAAATCTTTTGAAACGATTTTATCGAGTGTTTTCGCTCCTATCACTGGTACGAAGTATTATTATTATACTGGGAACGAAAATGCAATGTACGAAGACCTTTCTGCTAGTGAATGCGAACTGCATATTCTCATGGAAGATTCAGATGAAGACGAAACAGTTGCTGAGAACCGAAACGGAAGGTGGCCCCAAGACAACACTGACACGGATCCCACTCAAGAGCAGGACATCCATCGCAACGTTGCCGAACGCAACACCGAAGCTTACCGACATTGCTCGGAAGGATCATCAGACATCATCTCAGGGGAAGAGAACGATACTGATGCAAAGGGTCTTGCTCAACGCAGACGTGGTAGCTTCAGACGCGATGTAACTCCTCTTGTGGACGGTTTTAGTGACGAAAGATTGGAAAGCGAGGAGCAGTCCGGGGCAGTTGAAGAGGACGCAGAGTTTAACAAAGATGTCGCCGTTGCGACGTCCAGCTTCTCAGTACCATTCTTCCTAAGGTTTGAATGCCGCGTGCTTCATTCTTCACGTGAGACTCGTGCAGATACTACCGACACGCATGTCTTGGGACCGGCGTCGCTGTTGCGCCGGTCTTCTAGTAGCGCTGCGTACGAAGACGTGCGAAAGGAAATGGCACAAGCCCAAGCCTCTGCGTCAAACAGTCGGCAGGAGGAATTTGGCGCTTTTCTGGAATTGTTGAAGAACAGCCAGGGATCTCAGCACTGCTCCGATGCGTCCGGGGTGTCTCGTATTGCCGAGTCGTTTATGAATGTACCACCGAGTCGTATTGCTTTGCGTTTAGTGACTATGACGTTGCCTAACGAAAGTGAGGTCGACGGTCGACGTGTAGGTCCTCATGGTCCATTTGTAATGGACACGAGTAGCAGCAATCATGCGGGAATGGCCAACGCGTTGCCGTCAATTTCACCTAACTTTGCGACGCTGCATCGTTATCAATGCCAAGTGCTAACACGCATTCGAAAGGACATTAAGGAGTGGTGCAGCGTAGAGATTCTTTCAATTTTGAAGCATGCGAATGAAATCACACCAGCAATCGGAGCGCTAGTGCAAAGGCTCTTCGATGACCTGCCTGAGCTCGCTGTGACAAACGCGAAGTACCCGCTCGAATTTGTTGCCAGCAGCCAAGAAACCCCTACTACTCCGCTTGTTCTATTCAAGCAAGAGTTCGAAAGAGGCGATTTACTAAATGTCCATTGCTGCAACGGAGTGTACTTTGTAGCTGAAGCGATGGGGCCTGCCGAAGGACTCGACGGAGCAAGTGAAAATCGGTCCGGCGCGACCTATGAAATTCCGTATTGGGCATATTTCGAATTCGGAGCTGGTCACATCAGTTTGCGGCTTCATCACCCTGATCCCTTCGGAGTCAGTGGTAAAGGGTTAAGCCGGTTACAAGTTCTCACTCGTCTCCAACTTAGTATTCGCGCTATATGCCGTCGTGTGAATCAGTCCTTGCTCTTGCTGCAACTCCACGAGACTCGCACTTGCAACAGTTTGCTGCTACCACCAGACAGCGACTCACCAATAAGTCCGCGGTCGCCCAAGCGACGTACTAGTTTGCAAGGAAATACCGATTCGATGAACGAAAACGATAACCAGACAAAGCCGGGCCTTTTCTTTTGGCCTGGTCAGTTCGAGTGTGACTTGCGCTACTCGGCTTTTTTCAAACTTCATGAACGTTTGACGCCCAATTTTGCGCTCAACATGTTATGTACATCAGCTTTGGAGCAATTCCAAGTTCACAATCGACGTCATCTTTTTGTGTACCGCGATCGCGATGGAAATGTGTTTTACATGAAGATTTGCATTTCTTCCGATGCAACATTGTCCCACCGAGTGAGTCGTCAGTTCGGCGAAGAAAGACAAGAACAATGTTGCATCGCAAAGCCGAGTATCGGAGCAAGTATCAATGGAGGTGCAACAAATTTCGCAACAACGACCGCATCAGGAGAAACCCTTGGAATTCTGCTACAGGTGTTTGGCGTTTCTGAAGCAGGTGAAGAAGTAACCAATGAGCTATGCCATCTACTGGAGCGAAAACTTGACGAAGCAACGCAGGTAGTACTTATGAAGCTGCTGGCGCGCAACACAAAGTTCCAGCTGAGCCAGTCTGACCTAGCATTTCTGTGTCCTCCCGCGGTCGAACCTTCGAGTGATGTCTACTATAGTCTTCCCGGCGAAGTATCCCACTGCTGTGTGTTACTGCACTATTTGTCTCAGACGCTTAAGTTGGCGTCATACATCCGTCCTGTCACAAGCGGTGGATCGTCTCATATGCGGAATATGCGGGGCACTGTGGATCACTCGCGGCGTGCAGCTCGGCGTGGAAGCATAACGTCTGTAGAAAACTTTGTAGGTGTGCTCGATGAGGAGTCTACAAAAGACATGGCTCAAGAAAAAGATGTGTCGACAAAAGTCGAGGAAGATACAAAAGTGTCCACGATCCAAGACAGCGCACACATACACCCTGCTTGCTTTGGAGTCTATCCGACAAAGATGAAATGCGAAGAGGACGGTCCGCTAGCTTTGTTTGATGCAGCTACTCGTTCGCCAGTGTTCTTCGTTACGAAACGTAAAGGGAGAGGAGAAAGCTGTTCTTCTCATAATGCGACCTCGACAGTGGCATCTCCTGAAATCGTGGCCCAAGCGTCGTATGTAATGAACCTGAACCCAGACTTGCGCCTTTCGCAAGGTTTTCTGTCACGTGTCGGTAAGGGGCTTGCTCTTATACGCGTGGACCTTATTCGCAAGAACTTCGCCAAATCTGAGTCAGGAGAAGATCTAGAGCTACAAGATCTAGAAGAGGCCCACACTGTCCCGAGACTCACAGCGTTGTACTCATCCTCTGCAAACAGCGACCATGTACTGGTGGCAAGGTGTCAGATATGGACTCGCGGATCGATTAATGCAACGGAGCTGAGTAACGTCGTGAAGGCATTTTTGAATGAAGCCGTGTGTGACTACCACATCGAAGAGACAATCAAAAACTTGCAGCAGCAGCAGGATGCGACTGGTGAAACAACTCCCGTTTCATTTGGTACTCATGTGAGTCAACCCTCGGGGGTGAATATGCTGGTGTCGCTTTTCAAACGTGCATGTCTCTTGCCTTCGTCGTCCGTTACGAAGTTAAAAGGGCCTGTATCGATCGCGCCATGGGATCTCAACAATGTCATGGTACAAGTGAGAAACTTCTTGTCCTGCTTACCTCACCACCTGCGTCCTGGGGTCTATGCAAAGTCACTTTCGGGTGGCTACGATTTTGTTTCGAGTTGTGACGAAAGGTCAAACATGAGCCCTCGCGCGAATGAACCGCCGCCAGCCAAGTTCCGGCTTATTGTACAGCATGCCAGTGATCCGGACGCAGACGAAGTTGCGGACTCGAGTGACTCGGATACAGAAACGACAGCGTCGGTAAGCTCAACGGCTCACCACATCGAGCCGTTGATGAGGACTGACTCAATTCATTCAGAAATTTCGGATATTGACTCGGTATCAGGTCGAGTTCCGCTCACATGGGCATCGATCAGTGCAAGCTACGACTTGAATGCGAATTCACAGCTACAACATTCGTCGTCTTTGTCTTCCACTACTTTATCGGTGGTTGGAGCAACGGGAGGGGGTCAATCACACTACCAAAGAGGGGTCGCTTCGGAGAGAGATGTGTTGCTCTACGCCAACAACCGCAGTACTTACCGTCGTCGGCGAAGGTCGCAACATGATGAATATCCGGAGGTCAAACGATCGTTTTACTATGTCGTCGATTTGTCCATCAAGAAGGGGTTGCGATTGTACGGATACAACATGAGCAGCTCATTGGTGGAAGCGTTGACTGCGCACATAGCGCGCGTGCTGACGTGGAGTATGCTTCGTGAACATCTGCTAAGGAGTCTGCTGCTTGAAAAGTCGGGTCTTTCAACTGCCGCTCCTGTTGGAACCATGGTGCTGCAGCCCAGCTGTTTATTTTCGACTGTCGAGAGAATAGAGCAAGCTGGAAAGGGCGCTGGCAAGAACTCTGCTGTTCTATGCAAAGACTCTGCAGTCCACTTCATCGAGTATCGGTCTTGCGTGCTTTCGATACTGCAGTCCAACGAGTGGTTTCCCAGAGTCTTGGATACCGTTTGTTTGCGTTCGATCGAGGGCACCTCCCTCGGAGTGTATTTGCGTGAGGCGCAGACTCAGCCAACCACAGCGGTCGTTGATGCTCAGTACCAGCGCCCTCGAGGAAAGGGCAGCACATGTTTAGGTGTTTCAGTGGGACCCCCAAGTATTCCCGACCTTACGAGGGAAGTGTCAGGGCAATCTGTATCGCAACGGAGTGTCCAGAGTCACGGCGACAGCTCATTGAATTTGCTAGGAGGCCAAGCATCAGGGAAAGCCAAGGGTGGATGCGTTGTTAGCAGCAGTAGCGCGTCTGATATTGTACCATCTTCTTCCCCAAGTAGGAGATTGACTGGTAAAGATCGAGGCGAGACTGCTCGAATGCGAGGTGGAGCGGGAGCTACAACAGCGTTAATGGCAGCACGTGCTAGAGCAAGGGGCGGTGGTGGCTTTCCAAATCGAACGGGCGGGGTGCTGGGCGCTGGTCCAGCACGTGCTGGTGGTAGTTCCCCTGCAGTTTTGTCCAGTGACACAGTCGCGCCATGGGATCTGCCGTTGTCAAATATGAAAGCACCACGGTTGCTTACCTCTGCGGACGACGACAACGTCAAACCAAAGGGCGCTCGGGATGGGGGTCAAAAAGCAGGCATCGAAATTGATTCGACGGTCAAACCCAGTGCAATGTCTACCAGCAGACCAAAAGGAGTAAATCGTCACGTTCGAAGAGGATCTCGGAGTAGTGGTGTAAGCGATCTAGGCTTACCATCATCTTCATCTTCGCTGTCAGGACTCCCGTTAGCAAAGTCGTCTGCTCATCGCATAGGTAGCAAGGAGACGGTGTCGGCCGATCCAGGCCGAATCCACAGTTCGTGGAAAACACAGTTGGAGGTTGCATGGGGGCCTCGATTCATGTTTCCTGGAAATACAGAACGATGGGTTACGAGCGTTCCGCCTGAACAGCAGCAGCACTTTATTGAGCTCGAGGAGGATGAGGATCATGGCCAACCCAAGAAAAGTCTAGCACCCCTTTCGTTCTTTTGCTCTGCGCTGGAGAAACGGTGGGAGATGTTTGAAATACGGTCAACTAACCACACAGTGGGCATGACTTTGCTGGAGAAGCTTGCGTCTTTGGACGCAAATGAATCGATAGAAGAGCCTGTCGCGAAGGGTATTGTGGCACATTTGATGCAGAGTGGACACCTTTTGCTACATCAGCGCTTTCGGGCTGCATTCGTGGAACAGTGGACATCAGCAGAAGCGACAGGAACGCGTGAAGGCGACGAAGTTGTCGACAGTCGCTTGAGCGAAATGCAGTCATGCTTGGATCTGGTGCACTTGCTACGGTACAAACGAAAATTTATGTTTGATCAAGATAAGTGCTCTGTGGCTAAACTCTATGCAGAACACACTGTGGAGAGTGTGGGAGCTGGCACGGGTGCCGATGTCTGGGCGATGCAGCAGCAGGTTGCAGCCAACATGGAGCCGTTACGACTAGAAGTGGCGAGTGATTTCTACAAAGAATATGCTGTGCACTTGCGCACACTGGGATTCCGACGCCTAAGGACGTTAGACACAAGCACAAAACATGCACGCGCATTATCAGTCGATCACGCTGCGACTGAGAATGGAACTGAAGTGCCCGGTGTAGAGGGCTTTTCCGAGTACTTTTATCACCCTGAAGAGACAGCAGCAAAAGCTGGGGGATGGAATGTGGATTCGAACGAAAGCTCTAGCGATGCCCATGCCTCAGCCACTGTGCTGTTAGAAGTCAAGTGTGACAATCGTGGCGTGCGACTGACTGCTGTGCTTGTAAGCTTGCACGACTTAGAGCAGCAAGACCTGCAGTTGCAGACCCCTCTGGCAGTAAGAGCCGGTAGGTCCACAGCTGCGACGTCTGGGCGTAGAGTTTACATCGTAGCTGCGTGGTTACGCGCCCAATTGCAAACTCAGGCCCTCATCTATGGGTTCACCATTCGCTACTTCCAGCAGCACATACTTCAGTGGATCAACGCTTCTTACGAATTTGGCAACGAGCAGAACATGCATCGACACCGCGACGATCGACACGTCAATGAGGATGGTGCGATAGCGAGCGCATCTTTGATTCCGTGGAAGAAAGCCGCCACCTTTCAGAACATCGTCCGAGGACTACAGAGCTTTTTAGTTGCGTTTCCAGATCTGCCAGTGAAAAACATGAAGTCAAGTGCAGCAGCGCCGACGCCGACTCGAAATTCTGATGGCGACGACACAGTGGCGACAAAGCAAATCGATTCGAAGGCCTCCTTGAATTACACAGCTTCTGCAACACCTGACCATGGTAGTTATCGACCAACATCGCGCGTTGTATCGAGGTTTGCTCGGCGGGCCGCGACCAGACAGCATCAACAGCAGTCAGCGTCATACTTTCCTACGACTCAATCTGCGTCAGGAGCCTCAACCACGTCAGCAGTGCCTCTGACTGCACCCGCGTCAGCAGCTACACAAAAACGTGCGACGCCTTTGTCTTCGCTCTGGCGTGGCTGTGTCTTGCGAGTGGCGACGGTCGCACTGCAACCGACTTTACTACAGTCGAACTGCTCCGAGCTGATCTTGGTGCAGAACTTGCTGAGGTATATCGCATGCCATGGCTCGCGCTATGAAGTGGTGGATCTATTGCAATTTGGCACGCCGGATGCTGTCGTATGCCATTCTCTATCAGGCAGTTTCTTCAACCGACCGACAGCCACATTGACATCGTCCATGCCGGGGCGCCAAGGGGAAGCTTGTAACGGATATTCGTTGGTCATCACAACGCAAATGTCGACGCTGAAGTCGGTGGATGGAGGCACGGTGCAGCTGCTGCTAGTCAAGAGTACGCCTTCGGAATCAGGCGTGGGCAGCGAAGTTCTACCGGTGGAGCGGGCATTGCAGGAAGCCCAGCTATTCGCCCGCGAGCTATTTCGCGTGGCGACTCACCACTACGAGCGCGATCTCTTGTGGTCTCGACTGCTGTTTGACGACTCGCGCGATCCCGAAGCCGATTTGGCTCCGACACTGGCGCTTCCGAGGGACCTGTTCCGTGCAGACATCGGACCACAGCAGTTGGAGGAGTGCCTGCGGTTGTCAATTCGTACTCCCTTGGAATGGCTGGACCCGCGTCTCGGCGAGCTGCTACGTGTATCGGGTGTCTGTTGGCAGGAGTTGGCCATGCGGCTGCGTATTTTGTATGCAGATCAGCTCCGCGAGTTCCAATTCCAACAAGAAGACGAGAGCAGCAGTCACCTGCTGTTGCTCTGCCCCGACACATTTGACCTCGTGATACACTTGACGTTCGTCACACCGAAGGAGGACCAGTTGATGATGGGACCTGAACAAGACGGCGCGGCGGATGGGGTCAGCAACCAAAGTACGGACAGTCCCAGCAGAAGCTCAAGCAGGTCGAGCGACCACTTCAGCAGCGCCAGCGAGCAGAGGATCGTCGCTGGCACTGGCAACAGAGCGGCGGAAGATGACGTGCACGTGGAGATCTGCCGCCGCGAGGAGCCGCCGAATAAGGAGTTTACGCTCGCCCAGCGGCGGTCGATTTCGGAGTTTGTCAACAGCATTGTGCACTGGCAATGGCGAAGTCTCATTTACGATTAGAGAGACTGCCAGTGCTTTGCATGGGGAGCAAAGGGATCTCCGATGGCGAATGGAACTCTCGAGCGCTGCAAGATACATCTCGTTCTGCCAAACGACTTCCACAACCGGTCCTCCTGCCTGACCTCTGGCATTTGCACGTGCTGAGAACGCCCCCTGTCCTCTTCGCTAGCGAAACCCTATCGGTCAATACAGACACCAGCAACACATAGAGTGCGCTAACTAAACGAGCTCGGGTCCTTCGAGTTGCCCGTCAGGCGGCGAAACTTCTGGGCAATCTCGTCAAACTCGGTGCTGAGGTCGTCCAGCGAGTTCGCCAGCGCCTCGACGGGCGACGACGCGTCGTTCGTCTGTACGCGCACAGTGATGTCGTGGATCAGCGGGTGCGGGTGGCGGTAGCCGCTGAAAGTCACGTTCGGGTCCCGCAGCAGCTGCCTGTCGACCGCCCGGATCGGGAAAGTATACGCAGTGCAAGCGGGTGAGCGATGTATACTTAGTCGACGCAATGCGGTAAACACGGTCTACTTGATCGAAACACGCACATGCGGATGAGGTTGCCGATCGTGTGGTCTTCGCGCAAGATCGTGAACTTGCCGGCGTTGGAGATCTTCGTGTCTTTCTCGTACGTCACCTTCTGCGCGCCCTCGGGCAGCAAGTACGAGTCGCTGCGGTTTGGCGCGTTCATGTTACTTTACGAGAGGAAAAACGTTTGCGCTATTGTTGTTGCGATATGAGCGCGAGGAGTCGATTCGGTCTCATTGCGGAAGGGCAGAAGGAAAAACCTCAGAATGAGATTGGGATGTGTTCGTGTGAACTACATCATTTTGGGCAGCAACACGCACATTTTAAATCTTGTATATTTGACAGTGTGTTTGTAGCATAGACGACAAGGAGCAAGTGGGCCGTCGCAATAGTCCGAACGACCATCGAATGTGAATGCGCCATGCAGCAATAGTATCGATTGCGAGAGATCTGTGCTCGTCGACGTCTAATCGGTCACGTGCTGGCAGGTACTTCCATGAATTGTGGCACAATGTGAAAAGTGCTTTTTATGCCAGGTGGAAAATTGGAGTAATTAACGAGATGCTGTGGACTACTTTCGATCAAAGAAAGCGCTTGGCGCTGGTCTCTGCACGTTCGACAAAAGACAGAGAGACGGTGGGTGGGCCCGTGTGGCTCAGTCACTGAAGCACTGAGACTGCAGGACGCAATTCTAGTGACACCGTTGCGACAGCACTCGCGCCAGTCACTTTCGATGCGCTTGACGTCGTCATTGCAGTAATCGAATCGACACTCTGATGCTGCGGTGCATCTCTCGCTTGCAGGCCGAAGCTCAAGGCGTATGGTCCATTATCGTAGTTTATGCCTCAACAAGAACCCAAAACGTTTCCTCTCAATGCTCATGCACTGAAGGCATCAGACCTCTTGTGCCTATCTATGGTCAGAAGTATATTCTGTGTACGTCGTTGAAGGCACACCACAGCTCGAGCGCGTGTCAGTGTTCGAGCTGATAAGTGACTCGACTTCCACATGGCCCACGTACGGTGCGGATCCCGAATGAAGTGGCCACAAGTTGGCCTTTGAGCTCTTCCACCGTATACAATGCACCCGCTGCCTCTTCTGGAACAGTCGAGTGACCAGTGACCGATCCATTGCCGTTTGACTGCACACTTTTGACGCCATCCGACCACTCACTTGGCCGACGACCCTCTCGACAGCGTACGACAGCGTTGTTCTCTATTGCTTCTTCAGCAGTTTGGCAGTGCCGTAGCCCACGAGACCCACTGCAGTCACTCCGAGTAGGTAGAGGCTCAGCGGGATGCCGAACGCAGGCGCCGCTGGCACTGGAATGTTGCCCGGGTCTTCGTACAGCGCAGTCTTCTTGTGCTTTGGGTCGCGGAGGATCGCGGCCACGCGACGGCCTGCGACGAAGCCGTCTTCGTGGAAGCCCCGACCGAGCCACGCGCCCGAGAGCGAGATGCCGTCTTCCTGGATGATCTCGTCCTGCGGGATGCAGTCTGCCAGCAGTCGCGGGTGGTCCCACCGGAACGAAGTGATCGTGTGCTCTGGCGCCGGCAGTTTGTCCCGAAAGCCGTGCGGTGTGATGGTCACAAAGACGTTCTTGTGGCTGTTGAGGCGCTGGATGCGGTTGATCCAGTACGTCAATATGTACTGCTCGTCTTGCGTGATGCAGACGTTCCAGCTGCTCCAGACGCTGCGCGACGGCGGCAGCAGCTTCGGGTCGCGGTGGACGTAGATCATGCTCTGGTGGAAGCGGAAGCGCTGGAGCGACCGGTAGGCCGCGTCGCTCCAGCGCAGGAGCTCTGCGCTCTCGTCGGCGTGCGTCGCGAGCACCACGTGGTCGCACGCAATGCGCTCGCCGTCTTGGAGCACGACCGCAGTGCCGCCCGCTTCGACGCGAGTGACGCGCGCGTTGTAGCGCACGGTGCCGCCGTAGTCTTCGGTGAAGACCCTGAGGAAGGGGTCGAGGTAGGCCGAGCCGAGGAACCACCAGAGGTGTTTCGGGCGGTCCGAGCGCACGCCGAGTGCGGCCAGGAGCACCTGCCACAGCGGCATATAGAGCGAGTGCGAGTGCGTCTGGAGGCAGCGCAGGAACTGCGTCACGGGCAGCTCGAGCACGTCGTGTTTCGGGACGGTCCAGAGGATCGACACAAAGGCAAAGAAGTAGTGGCGCAGGAACGCGCGCGAGTAGCGGCTCTGGGCGGCCCACGCGCGCGTCGAGACGGCGGCCGGCACGGGCATGTGGCGCAGGTCCGCCGTGAAGCGGAAGATGTCGAGCAGCACGCGCCAGCGGCGGCGGTCGAACCAGTTGGCCACGTGGCCGTGGAACGGCGCGCGCGACGAGAACTGCAGGTCGCCCGCGACGTCCGACGTGACCGTGAGGCTCATGGGGACGCGCGTGCGCGTGGTGCCGTCGGGCTGCGTTACGCCCAGGAACTTGAACCAGTGCTTAATGTTGGGGTTCGAGTCGCCAAACATCATAAAGCCCACGTCCACGCGCTCGCCGTCGATCTCCAGCGCGCGCGTGTGGCCGCCGAGCGTCGCGGACTGCTCCAGGAGCGTCACGTCGTGGCCGTCTCGGGCCACGTGGAAAGCGGCCGACGTGCCGCCGATGCCCGCGCCCACGACGACGACTTTCATGTGGCGCGCTCGCTACGGACGCGGCGAAAGCCAAAGTGCGCGAGTTGGGACGAGGAGCGCCAAGTGGGTGGCCACGAGTGGACCGCGCGATACAAAGCGCAAGTCAAGCGCTCGGATTGGTTCCCCGTGCGCGACCAAAAGAGGCGCGTCGGAAGGCGGGCGGGCGGGCGACTAGTGGGAGCGACCGACCGTATTGACACTACAATGCACAGAAGAGCCGTCGGCAGCCTATCGAAGGATCTCGCAGCGTACTACTGCTCGTGCACCGACGTCGAGTGTCGAGATGTCCAACAAACGACGCGTCATCATCACGGACGTCGATCTTCTCGATGTGAACGCATCTTGTAAGACGAGCGCTCGCGCTGTTGGGGCCCTACATGCGACAGCGTTAGCAATGCCCGTGGGGGTACGTACTCCCACTGCTTTTCAACACTCAGAAGAGGAACAACCCCCGACGTCAGAGCCGAGGAAGGATACGTTGCAGGTGTGCTCAGAGAGTCGGCTCTAGGAAACCAACACCGACTTTTGCTATGCACTTGCTGCGAACGAATACGCCTACCGGAGTATCACGTTCATGGGCGTAAGAGAGCGACGCTACAAAGCCTTCCGAATGCACTACTGGTAAGCGATCTATACGAGTATCGGACCGCACCTGTCCTCGTTCTATACGCGCCACATCTTATAGCGTCAGGAAACAAAGGACCCTCTGAGTGCTTTGCATCGACACACTTGCGCGACCGCTTTGTCATTGTCGCTGCCATACATTTGCCTCGCACAACCTCAACAGTAGTCGACGCAGAGCCTTCGCCACTAGTCGACGCAGCTCCATCACTGTTGACTCGTGAGGCGTAACAACTGACTCTCAGCCGACAAGTCTCCTCCAGCGCCGCCACTTCAACTACGAGCAATGCCGAGTCATCCACACTTGAGCACGTGTTACATAGTTTTGTAGCCAGCTCTGCTTCGCCAAGCGGAAGAGCTTGGCTTGACACTGTCGTGACGGACGCACGTGTCCAGCTTCGTTTCTTCTCCAGTGAGCGTAGCATCCAAAAGTCCGTAACGATCGTCAGCTTAGAGCTGTCGAGACTGCGAAGACGTGGCACCGTGTCAAGGGCCGAAAGATCGTGGGAGACTGCAGAGAGCTAGAACTCTAGTGCAGTTGATCGTAGTTAGACTTGAATGGAGATGGCGCGACGGAGCGACGCCTTTATGGTGTTGTACTTGCAGCTGGTCGAGATTTTGATGTACTCGTTACCGTCAACTAGCACCACTGTGAGCCATTCTGGTACTAGTGACTCCAGCAGGTACAGCTGGTCCTCGACTCTGCCTTTGATCGGAGCTCGGGCCGCTAGTCTGCGCAGCACAAACTGCTTGGCAAAGCTAGACTTCCTCGTGACCATCACGAGCGACTGCAACTGGTCGCTGAGCTGCGGCAGCGTCACCAAGAGCCGCTTCTGCAACGACTTGGCCTCTTGTTCGACTCCAGCTTTGCGGCCCATCTCCTTCTCCCGGACCTTGTCAACGAGCCACTGCGGCAGTGACTGCAAGTCCTGCGGCACGGGCTTTGCCAGCTCGTGCGCCAACTTTGCGTCGCTCTCACTGCATGTCGCGCCGTTCAACTGCTCCTTCTTGTCGCCGTGCAGAGCGACTTGTGTGCGACCGGAGAGCTCTTCATGTACCGCCTCTGTCGGCAGGTCAGGCAGCGGCGCTCGCTCGATCTCTGCAGCTGTCAGCGCGTGCCGCACCTCCTCGTTCGTCATGGCTGGAAACTCCTTCTGGATAGCACTCACTCGTTCGTCGACAAAGGCATTGGCCCTGTCGACAAACAGAGCGATTCGAGCCGCGAGGCCCTCGCAGTCCGCATGGGGCGGAGGCAGTCGCTGCTTCCGGAGCGTGAGCACTACGGGCCGCAGCTCTCGTCGCTGGTCGTCTCCCGTGTTGCGCTTCCACTTGAGGTCGTAGGCGCCCGGCAACAGGGACAGCATCTGCTGCAGGTGCGCCCGTGTGAATCGGATGTGGCTCGAGCTCTCGACGGCGCGTTGCACGGCGGCAAAGTCGGGCGTGTGCTGGTACAGCGTCAGCGCGCCGAGGCCGAACTCGAGCGACGAGAAGAGGCGCAGCAACAGCCGCAGAGCCGGCGGCGCGCGGTCGTCGAGGCGTCGAGGCGCTCGTGGTGGGGCAGGAGCGTCGGGCGTGGCGTCGGCCATTCGGCGGGGGTCTGCTACACTGCTTTGGCGCGGGAACGGGGGGGGGCTGGGATACAGGACAAGTGGGGTCTGGACCGACATTATAGGTTAGTGGCGGGCCAAGACGTTGAATTCAGCATTGGGCGCGAGATGTCGGACTCGTAGCGTGTGTGGACGGGACAAATTGGGCTCTTTGGGAATGGGCCGTCCCATATTATGCTGTTTCCACACTGTCAGTTGTTGCCGATTTACGCTCTCTGGCACGCAATCGCTGCATGTCCAACGATGTGGGCATCGCGGACGTATGTTGCTGGATTGTAAACGAAAGTGGCTCGAGGCACGACCTCAACATGCCGGCGGTTGCTGCCACCTGCATTTACGGTGTACAAGCTATGCAACTTCCAGTGAGTCTCGCGCCCAGCGTTGTCTTCAAAGGATCCAAGAAGCGTCAACGACGTACACAGTGCGAACGTCCTCATCCATTGTAAATATTCTCTTCATTCTGAGATTCGTTTAGCAGAAGATCACCAGATTCTCAACAACTGTCTCAACTCGTGTTTCTCTCCTTCCATGCCACTAATACCTGTCGACTTCGCACAAGTCGGGCCACATGAGCTTCACGCATGCCAAGTTTGCAACAGACTTGACGCGTTGTCGGAAAAGCACTACTGGCGATACTTACGTCTTCCCTTCGCTCGCTCGATCTTTTGACGCGGTTTTGTACATCCGTCAGAATCCAGACCCCATTGCATGAAGTGGTTCAATTTGACAATTGTAACTCGGACGTATGCATCGAATGCACTGAACGATGCGTGCTAGAGTGAGTGTGTATTGCTCTTGCTGATACTCGTAGACCTCTTTATCTGGAGTTGATGCATTCAAAGTAGTGTTATATCACCTGAGCGAGTTGCAGCAGCGATAGACGTTGGATACTGCATGACATTTCTCTTTTCAACAGTGAAGAAAGCAGGATAGGAGGACGTCGTTGTCACACTTTGTCCAGTGCGGGGCGAACCCGACCGTATACTTGTTGTGTAGCAGCCGAGTCGATTCGAAGTCTGTCGTAGTTTTGCACCAGCGTTGATTCGGTGAGTCCAGTGTTGATAAAGTGAGCCTGTAACAGGCATGAGCGACTCAGAATGGGCTGTACGACATCAATCTCCAGTATCGTGGACGATGAGATGGGACAAGCGTGGAAAAAAGTCTCGTTGCACGCTTTCCTCGGTCCCCCACACATACATATCCCATCCGACTCGCACATAGTTGTCAGCATCGCCGGTCAAAGACATCCCGAGTCACACGCCTTCTGCAAGATACCTATGTTCACGTGGCCATTCTAGACGCCTCAGGGCTCGCTCGTACCGCCGTCGTTATTTGTTCCACGATAAAACAAAACCACAGACTGGGCAACGGTTCATGTCATAAGGACACACGTGTCAGGAGTTTACTACTTGGCGTCTACTCTGACGCGTACTATGCGAGTCAGTCTATACTCGTATCTAGAGCTCCTCGTTCAAGTACGAGATGTCGTCCCAGGGGTGGCGGTACAGAGGCTGCTTGAGCCGCTTCTGGTCGAGGAAGTGGCCGATAAAGCCAATGCTGCGACCGAGCACAAAGAGCCCGTTGAGACACCCGTTCTCAATCTGCTCGTTCGCTTCCTCGAGCGTAAACACGCCACAGTTTCGCAGCAAGTCCACGAAGCACACTGCGATGCAACCATCCACGTTCAAAATAAGATTGCTGCGCTTCTTCGTGGTGACCTGCTCCACCTCCAGAGCAAAGTCAAGCACGTCCGTGGCAGGGAAGTTTGCCTTGGCAAAATCCTTGATGATCGTGACTCGCTTGTCCGGGTTCGACAACGACTTGATGCGGTGGCCAATGCCCATAATCAGCTTGTTCTGCTTGCGCATCTCGCTCACGAAATCGGCGGCAGACATACCCGAGTCGTGCGCGCTCGCAAACATCTCGGCAGCCTTGTCCAAAGCACCACCGAAGCGAGGACCAATCGTCACTAAACCCGACACCAGCGACGAAATCAGATCCTTGCCGGCGCGGGCAGTGACAATCGTGTTGTGGGCGCCCGACACAGCTGGACCGTGGTCGGCCGTGACCATCAGCACCATCTCGATGAACTTCGACGCGTAGGACGGCAGGTTACGCTTGAACCACAAGAGACCGATGACGCCGCCGACACCCATGTCTTGCTCAAACACCTTCGAGATGGGAGTGCCTGCGTAACGCAGCTCCTCGCCACGGTCATCCGAGATAGACGAGATGAAGTTTGCCGGCTTACGGATGAGGCCGAGGTTTTTCGCCCAGGCATAGTCCATAGGAACCTTAGGGACCGGAACCTCCGGACGCGGCACGATCGCACCCGACGCAACCATCGAGTCGAACTGCTTGCGGATAGCGCTACCAAACTGGTCAAAGTTTTCCGGGACGATGGCGCCAGCAGCAGCCAAAGCAGCATTTTTGGCTGAAGCAGTCTCGGACTCCCCCGTGGCGCAAGCACCTGCGTGACCGAACTGCACCTCGAACGGAAAGATCTTGGCACATGTACCAATGCACCAGGCAATCACCGGTTTCTTGATGGCGCCCGACTGGATGGCACGGCAGACAGCAAACTCGTCCGTGCCACCAACTTCACCAAGCAGGACCATCATCTTCACCTCCGGGTTCGCCTCGTAGCGCAGCAGGTGCTGGATGAAGGTGGAGCCCGGGTACTTGTCACCGCCAATGGCCACGCCTTCGTACACACCGTCGGTCGTCTGCGAGACAATGTTGTTCAGCTCGTTCGACATACCGCCTGATTTGGACACGTAGGCCACACTGCCGGGGCGGTACAGTTTCGACTGCACAATGTTGTCCAGCATACCACCAGTGTTACCGATGCGCAGGCAGCCAGGCTTGATGCCACCAACTGTGGCAGGTCCAATGAGGCCCACATTCAGTTCACGAGCCTTCTTTGCAATCAAACGCGACTGCTGCTCCGGGACGCCTTCGGCAATGATAGCGTGCGTCTTGATGGTGCCGCTGTGCTCGAATCCTTCCATAGTGGACTGGTACACGGAGCGGAACGACGAAAAGTTGATCAGCACGCTCACGTCCGGGTACTTCTTGACAGCATCCGACAGCTTCTGGAATACGGGGATCAGACGCTCTGACGTGCCCCAGTAGAACTTCAGGTAGTGGTTGGGCGAGAACGGAAAGATGAGGGCTGCCACGCTCGGTGTCTTGCGCTTGCACAAGTAATCAAAGTCGAGCATGCCCTGCACAGCTCGCTGCTGCAGTCCGTAGACGATACAGCGCGTCCTGTCGTCCATGCGCACAATGCCTTCGTCTTGGAGCACCACAGGGATCTGCGCGTTCGCACCGCCTTTGCCCTCCAGCGTTTCAGCAGGTCCGCCTTCCTCAGCATCACTGTTCGCAGCGCTACTATCGTCCGACGACGCTTTCACCGCACTTGCTTTCGTGTCACTGCTGGCGGTTGCAGTAGCAGGTTGTACCACTGCCGGTACGTTTTCGGCCAGTCCAAGCGCCATTGGCACGACCGCTGTGATGTGCGTCTCGGGGCCAAACACGTCAATGGGCACGCCCGTTGCCTCGCCCACGTCGCGCATGATCGCCAGACCTTCTTGGTAGTTGGGGCCGCCGCGACGCACCCAAATGTGCACCTTGTTGTCCCGCAGCTTTTGCTGGTACTCGGTGATCGCTCGGATAATGCCTTTGAACGTCAGCGCCACGTCCGTGAAGTTGGCAATGCCGCCGCCAATGATCAAGACTTTGCCGCGCGCGTCCACGTTGCGCGTCATGAGGTCCAGAATGGTCTTAGCGTAGTTGTACGTGTGCGTCTCGCTCGGCGCGCCCGAGTACTCGCCATAGTTGGCCAGTTCGTGGCCAAAGCCGAGATCGGCGATCGTGTCGGCGTACACGACGGACGCTCCGCCGCCCGCGACCATTGTCCAGATGCGGCCCGTGTGGTTGAGGATCGTGAGCTTGAGCGATGCGCCCGTCTTGGAGTCCAAGTCCTGGATGAACTCCTCCTCGGGGAACTTGGCCCGGCCAAACGCCGGGGGAACTCCATCGGTCCCCACTGGTCGCCCACGAGGAAGTTGGCCGTCTCGTCGAGCTTGGCCGCCATGTCCAGCACGCACAGCTGGTCCTGCACGAGCACCAGCGGGTTGATCTCCATGTAGACAAAGTGCAGCGCGCGGAAGGCCGCCAATAGGTCCACGAGGAACGCGGCCAAGAGCTGTTTCCGATCGTCGGCCACCGACGCAAACAGCGCCGCAGCCACTTCGTCGGGCGCCACGACCGACTCGATGCCGACCTGCAGCCGCTTGGCGGTCGCGTCCACGTCGCCCACGTCGACGCCGCCCTGCGCGTGGAACAGCAGCTCTTCGCCGTCGCGGTTCGAGACGATGCACACGTAGTGCTCGTCGGCGGCCGCGTGCGGAACAAAGGGCTCGACGACAAAGTGCGTCAAGACGCCCGTGACGCTCTCGACCTGCACGGGCTGGTTGATGCGGCCCCAGATCCAGTCCTGCACCTGCGGCCACGTGGCGTCCAGCAGCAGCAGGTTGGCCTTGCCGCGGCGCTTGATGAGCTGGTCGGGCTTGACCACGAGCGTCGCCTCGCCCAGCGTCGTAAGCCATGGACTCGCGGCCTCCACCGCGCGGAAGAACGCCTCGCGGCTCTGGCCGATGAAGTTGCGGGTCACGGCCACTTGGGCGACGCGCGTGTTGAGGCGGTACGACGGCAGGTGCGACGCCAGGAGGCGCTTGCCGTCGAACTCGCGGATCGCTTTGGCGGACATGGGGTCTGACGGTGACTACCGCTGCGTCGGGTTCGGGTCGCCGGTGGATTGGCGGGCGGGCGGTCTGAAGGGGCGGAGCGGGTGGGGCCGACGCCGCAAAAGCTCAAATGGAGTGGGCAGGCGGCGAGATGGGATGACTTGAGGCCCTCTCGCTTTGGTGTGTCGGCGATCTCTTGGAGTTTGTATCGCTCGAGTCGACACGAGGACGTGGGCGACGAGATGGGCCGATGACATCATGACGTCGACTGGGCCCACAGTGCCACTTGCAGTCGGTAGTCATTGGCGCTTTCGAAACCCCTCCGCGGGCTGAGTGCCATTGGCTACAAATCGAATGACTGGCGGGCGACCCGCGCGTGGCCCTCGAAAGTGACGCACGTGGCTTTGGATCGTGACATCAGACTCGTGACGCACAGCCACTGCCGCTGTCGCTTCAACCTGTCGACGGCCGTCACGCAGTGCCAAACTGGCGGCCGCTCTGCCGCCGCAGCGCTGCAGTCAGTTTGTCGCGCAACAGATTGGCCGACTGCGTGTCGACGCACGTCTGTCTGTGGCCAGTTTGAAAAGCTTTTGCTGGTCCGAACGTCGTAGAGTGGCGCTGTAGCGTCCTACCGAAGCGTCCACCCGCACGTGCGATGGCGAGCCGTTCGGACCAGACGGCAAGTCCTGTTCTTGACCTCGTCACGCGACCGCGAGGTCATGAAAGCACGTGCTGCCTGCTCTTCGTCCACGACCATTGTGCGCGCTTTGTTGCAAAGCGTGATCGTGTCGTGTGTAGACACGTGCTCTCGCTTTATTGCTGACGCACCTGCGACGTCGGTGTTGCGTCGTGCCGATCAGAAGGAAATGCCACAACGACGCGCAACGAACAGCAGCGTTGCAGTCGATCGAAGTGATGAAGTCGCCGACAACAACATTGCTTGCCTGGTGGCTCCTTTGGAGGCGCGTGGTCAACCTCATACGAACTCTGTTGCTCCAGCCACCACGAGATCGCCTGGAACAGGCCTGCTGGCACTTGTCCAAAGTGTGTATTATTGACGATGTCGGTTCGTGCTCAACTACAATTGGTCTTGAATTTGTGAACATGATATGTGGTAAGCGCTCTTTGTGGTATGGCTGGAAAGACAAAAGCTGCACTGTCGCTGGGTACAAGAACCATGTTCGGTCACAACATTGACGTACGATCCACTAGACTCGGCACCGTCGCTTGTGTGGTCGCTATGCTACAGGTCGCAGCCACAAACCATTTGCATCTGCTTACAATAAACGGTGTCCTGATGTCAAAGCCCTTGTGGAAAAGAGATGCATGCCAAGCGGCTCTTGAGACGCTGAGAGATGGATGCACGCGCATTGGCTCCGTTTGAGCTCGTTCTGGTCCCCACTCCTCGTAATGCCACTAGGAGCCTTCCTGATCCCAATGCCACAGCTTTGCCACCAGACTCGCTAGAGCACGTGCCATAATGGAATATTTGCACACATCCAGTGCAGCAATATGTACCATCTTTCAGTCTCTAGTACAACGAACGACTACGTGATGCATAAGCAAAAGGCCTGGGAGCACAGTCTCTATAACGGGGTAGCCCGTTACGTGACATTGTCATTACGAAGAAAATGACAATATGGAATATTACGTTAAATATTCTTTCAACAATATCACTAAGCATGTGATATTGTTGGGACAACCGAAGGGTATTGTAACGGGGCAGCCCGTTACATGGATTTGTCACTTTAAGGAAAGTGACAATGAAGAATATGAAGTTGCATATTCTTTGAACAATATCACCAAAGTGGTGATATTGAAGGGGCGACCAAAGAGTCTGTTCATTGGTTGATATCTTGACGATATCAACCCACCAATCGCCGCAAGACGCGCGCAATGAGTGGTGACGAGACGTCACCATACACTCAGTTATATTAACATAATTAAGTTAAGTCAAACGAAGAGACAGTAGTTTAAAGACTTAATTATATTAATATAACAGTTCTGCTTTTACCTTACCTACGCTTCCTCGCTTGCCACATGTACGTCTGTCGGGGCACCGATACCCTTGCGTTAAGTTCACGCAAGGGTGTGCCCCGTTACAATCCCGATTCGTATAGTTGCAGCATTAGACGCTGTGTGCGCTCCAACGCGCACCATGTATCTCGGGTGAGCCCTGTACATATCATTGATCTTAAAACATATCAATGCGGACATTATCTTAGTCGATACAGTTCATTAGTGGTACCTGACCAAGGAAATATAGATGTATTCTTACTGTCAAGACTAATAGCGAGGGTCACTCCACTCATTGGTTAATATAGACCGTAATGTCAACCAAACTAACCAACCACAGATGGTCAAACAGTCGCAACGCACGCACACAACAATCGACGAGTTAGGTCTACGACTCGGGATGGTACGTTAGGATGAATCCCTACGCGGTTTGCCCCTTCGGGAGTAGTGTGGCTTTCGTCTAACTGATTCCACGCAACTAATTCTTCTTGAAACTACCTGATCTTAGCATTTTCTAAACCTCTCGCTCGCTTGCTGTGACTTTACACCAATAGCTGAAAGCTAACGCCTTACGTGTTTTACGGGTCACCAGACGCAATTTACGCCCGACTAGTAGATCTACGGTGATTTCGGCTGAACCCCACCTGCTTGTCACTTGGGCAAGTCGTTACAAAGTTGGTGTCTTCTCCTGAGGCTTACCGGCTTGTCATCGACGAGCCTCTCCACAGTACCGAAGGATCTCCGTCGTCGACGAGCCGGTATACAGAGGTTTACCGGCTCGTCGACGACGGGAATCCTTCTTTCGCCGGTAGCGGAGGTACCCAACCCGAGCCTTCCTAACTCTTAGCGCTACCAATCAAGACCTCTACAAGCTATGCAGCTCGAGGTTTGACAGCATGCATAATCTAACTTGAGGAGGGACTTACCTTATGTGTACGCGTGCCTTGGACTTAGAAAAGTCTGTACTGTATTTGTGGGTGAGTGGTGATTACAAATTACTTGCGACCCTGTGGTGGAGTAGTGATCTTAAATTCCTTGTGATCCCGACTCTCCACTGGCGTCCGGACGACCGACTAATGGAGGGGGTACCCCGATGCCGTGCTCCGTTTGTTCTTGCTCACCTTGTAAACCCGTCGGTGGGGCGGGTTGCGCTCTTCTTGGTGGACTTGAGTTGAAGCTGAACTTGACCGTTTTGGTAATAGGGGTTGATGGGGTCGAAATTCTTCACCCGGTCAAACGTGGGGTGGATCGAGTGAAAATTCTTCACTCGATCGCAAGTAAACTTGGGCGCTCTCCCAGAGTCGCCTGTATCCAAAAGGGATGCTTGATTTGCGAGCCTTCTGACCACTTGAGCCGTCTCGCGATCTTGAATCCGGACCGTTAAGTTCCCTGCGTCGGATCGCAGTTGGGGGGGGGGGGTGAGAACTGATGTTCCGCCTGGACAAACAATCTACAGGCTAAGTTTGTATAGACACAGGTTGCTCTCTATCCAACGGGAGGCCAAATTTCTTTCCCGGGAGAAGCCGACGCGTGTCTTTTGTTGCAAATTCAATCCTCTTTTATGTCGACCAACCAAATCCAAAACCTATGACTATGTCTATCTGTTCGCTAGATCACTGTTGCGTATAGCCTCTCTATGCAATTCACCTCGTGCATCATGTGATCCGCAGCATATACTCGGGTGGCGGATCGCTCCATAGTGAATCGCTAGGTGTTGAATCGCTAGGTGGTGGTCGATCGGATAGCGGATCGCTTGGGGTCGATCGCTTGGGTAGTGGAAAGCGGTATGTGATCTATACCAATAATGTGATCCACACAATTATGTGTCCACACAATCAAGCATTACACACCCAGGGTGGATCGTGGTCAATCTCTAGAGTCTTTGATCAGGCATCCACCGTCGGATCGCCGTTACTTTTGGGACCTCGCATGTTTGATGATCTTGACGATCCACTCCTCCAGCTTGCTTTCTTACTCACCCATTTTACATCGTCGTTAGCGATCCAGTACTACAGTTGATGTTCACCCCTTGAGAGATCCGGTCCTTGTAACTTGGTGATCCAAGCCCTTGATTGCGGATCGTGATCGGTCAGTCGTCGATCCTTGACTATACTCCTTCTTGACCGTTAGGTAGATCAATCCGCACAATGTTCACAGTCATTTTGTGTCACTCAGTCGTTTGATCCCATCATTTGTGCCAACGGGCCTGTCTCCGAGCGCACTCCACCAATCCAATCGATCTCGCACATATTGCGGTCGGCGCGATCCACACTTTCCATCATTATTCTTCTGCGCTTCTCCACAATTGTTTTATCTCTGTTGCCATCACTGAAAAGTTGAGTGATCCCCTGTTCTTCTCCTCTTTCCTCGTGCGTACAGTAAGTGTAATGGATCTTCGTTGGTCGTCTCACACTCTGCCTTTACGCCGTAATACAAAAAATCGGGCGTAAATTGCGCCTCGTGACCCGTAAAACACGTAAGGCGTTAGCTTTCAGCTATTGGTGTAAAGTCACAGCAAACAAGCGAGAGGTTTAGAAAATGCTAAGATCAGGTAGTTTCAAGAAGAATTAGTTGCGTGGAATCAGTTAGACAAAAGCCACACTACTTCCGAAGGGGCAAACCGAATAGGGATTCATCCTAACGTACCATCCCGAGTCGCCGACCTAACTCGTCAATTGTTGTGTGCGTGCGTTGCGACTGTTTGGCAGTAGATTTGACTGAGTATTATACCGCAATAGACTTGGTACTGACGTGTCGGCGATGATACCTTGACTAATCCAACCGAAGGACCCCATCCCGTTGTAACGCGCTCCAGAATACTAATCGAGATATCATTGTGATCAAATCGACTGTTTTACATCAAAGTTTTGACGCAGTCTAGTGCAGCTTTTCTCTCGTGCATGATGTTGATAACGGCAATGTGGTGTAGGGAGTTTCCGAACATGGCATTCCCTACTTTTGACCTGTTTATAGGAGTGGTGAACCTGACGAGAGGACACGAACACAT